AATAAAGTGTTTAAGCTTCACTCAGACGTTTTCTGCGTATTATAGTCTTTTAGCAATGATGAATATTTAAAGTAATTAAAAATCTTAAGTCATTTTTTGAAAGTTCTGAGGTTCTAAAGGCACAGCATACTGATAATGACCCTAGGACTGCTAAGGTAACGGTGCTGACAAACACTGGAATTTAATAGTGACTTAAACTGTTTCCACAAATATATGCCAAAATCTTTATATACTTGCTTCAAATTATGTTGATAAACTACCTAAACTCAATAAATAAAAGCAGTTTAGTAGAACTGCATGGATGTACCTTATTTACACCTTTAATCTTAAACTGGAACATTATGCAGGTATGTAGCTTTAGCACAGTTATATCTGAGGCTTAAGACAGTTAAAAGCTGTATATCCAATTATGATAAAACCTACGAAAGTGAGTAGTTGTCATGTCATGTAGCAAAACCAACAGAAGAGGACTTTTATTTTGACATCCTTAAAAAAAGAGTGGTCACCCAAACAAGATCCAAAGTGACCTTCATGGTGCAATACCAAGGTTAGTAGCCCTTTCCTGAGTAAAAATGTAAAAACTGTAATTTATTGTCAGTCAGGTGGTTTGACCCCAGGAAAACCATAAAAATGTGTCATTATTATAATAATGTTCATATATTTAAAATAAAATGTATGTATGAATGTAAGTTCAAGAACAAAGGCCTAAATTGGTGCCCAAGAACAATGCCTACTTTATACGTTTTAATTAGTGGTCAATCTGATTAAATATTAATTGATTATTATTATTATTGATTATTATGATTATTATAAATTGATGATCTTGTTTAAAATGAATTTATACCTTTATAGCAGCTCTGAAACAAATATAAATACATTGAACAGATTCTAGCAGGTATAAAAATGCACCTCACATCTTTTTTTCATAAGAATTTTTCAAATAATAATTTTGACCGTTTTATTTGACCCAGAAGGTAAAAATTAGAACAAAGCTATTTGTTTGTGACATTGAAATAAATTCAGACTTTACTGAAAAATCTTCATAGGGTTGTTATAAATACTCTGCAAATACATTTTACACAACAGAAATGAAGATTATTATATGCTGTTGAAAGTTGGCACTATTTTTTATTGCCAATAATTAATTATGAACTTATTTTTTTTATTTATTACAGTCAAAATCCCATCTGAATGATGATTAGTCCGAGCATGGATGCCAAACTGTTAGTTATAGACAAATATCAGATCTGTAACTAAAGCCAACAGTCTAGAACCCAGGCTGGGAAGCCTTCTAGCAGGATCTCAGTGAAGAGTCCATGTATATTACACAAAGCAGATTCACTGCTTTAACACAAAAACTTCTGAGCTGGTTGGTAGCTTGTTGTCTGATGATGAGATGAATTAATATCTTCTGACTCAGTCCATGGCTAAGATGATGATGATAACTGAGATCTCGATGAGTATGATGGCAGAGGTGATGCTGATGAAAACAAAAATCGGATGACGACAATGTCCAGTGGTGATGATGGCACTGATCTCCTCTTCATGGGTCCTGATGTCTCTAATCTTCCTGGGTCTGTGGCTAAGATAATAATGATGATGTCAGTGGTGATGCTGCTGCTGATCAAAATAAATGCTGAAGATAAAGTCCAGTGATGGTTGATGGTGAAGTCTCTAAAGGTCTTGCTGCACTTCTTGTCAAGGCTTCCTTCGACGTACATCCTCTGATCTGGTCCAGAAACTGAACAGTCCTCTTGTCCAGAGTTCCTTGATGACATGTAGGAATCACTGCTGTCTAGAGCCTCTAATCCAGGAAGAATGATGCACTGGAACCCTGAATGAAGCACAGTGAGAAAGAAAGAAAGTAAGAGACAGAGTAAAGCTCTATTCAGATGGGTTTAGTTTTCCATGAGGAGGTGGGGCAATGCCAGTTTACCTCAGGACATCTGTAATGTTTATGAGCGATTCACACAGGATAAGAAATTTCGGGCTAAATGACAGAGATGGGAGTGGAGTTTCCACAAGATACAATACTGTTTTACCAACATTTCGATTCGCACAGGATTAATATAACCTGAGGTTATTTTTATGGCTCATTTTACAGAAGATAAAAGGCACCAGAATCTTTACTGACACGGGAGCACACAGTCGGTTATAATGGATGACTGACATGGGACTAAAATCACTGAGAAACACTAGTAAAAGTTACTTTATCCCACCTCATCATGTAAAACTAATTCCATCTGAATCGGGCTTAAGATATTCTAAACATGGTTAAATAAAATCTAATAGATGTGATATTCTCTGAAATCTGTGAATATTAAAAGATGAAGAGGAAAGAACAGATGGGGTGATTAAAAGAGAGAGATCTAAAGAGCTCCAGATAGAGTCATAAATATTGAATTTGGAGGTGTTTTCGCCTTTTACCCAAAGTTATTTACGCTGAATGGAGTTCTCTGAATCTCTGTCTTTTAACCTTAAAACACAAATACAGGTTTTACTTCTGAGAAAAAGAATTTAGATACACTCAAAATTAAATTACGTGTCAACAAAATAACTCTCATGTACTGATGTACATTTTGGTAAGTATTTGAATTTAAATTTCTCTATAATGAAAGAATTAAGATTTAACCAAAATGATTCTGAGAGGTTTGATGTGAAATGCACTGTTTTAAAGAAACTTTGCTCACAGTGGAACCAGACGTCTGAAGAGTTTAATGCCTCTTAAAGCTTCCTCACGGAAAGTTATTATATACAGATGGTTATAAATACACTGTACATACACATACATACACAGTAGTTTTGAGATAACATCATGGACTTGTTGTAAGGCAATATAGTCCCTAATAAAATCTTATTTTTTCAGATGTAGAACTATTTTACTATCACTAAGATTACATATAAAACGTGTGTTGGTTTACTACTTTGGATAGTAAATAAAAATGCCTGCACTGTAGACATCACAAACCCTGGTGCCTATCAGCAGCAATATAAAGAAATCTAAATCTTCACGTTTCGCTACAGTAAACTATTTCACATCAAATTGAAATCTGAAATTTTGAACAATTACTGTTATTCCCCTTTAAAATAAATATTATTTCATACCATGTCTCCAGTCTAGAGATGAGTAGATGTGATGATCCACTGTCATGCTCTCAGAGGTAAACATTCAGGGGCTCTCCTGGATACACAGGAAACTGCATCTGAAAAAAACACACACACACACACACACACACACACACACACACACACACTTTCACAGAATGTTAGAAAAAACAATATAATTTGCATTACAAAAACTACAGTTAGTATAATAATGGAATTAAAAAAGGTATGATATCAAAATGTGCAGAGTGTCTGTGATTAGAAGCCTGGTGGGGGTCCTCTTGGTTTGCTGGAAACCATGAATGGTGACGGCGTCTCAAGGATCCGTGTGTTGCTGGACCGATGAGTCCTGAAACAGCCATCTGAACCAATGGACACCATCTTCAGTGTCTTCGACACTTTGGTTTGCTGCAAAACACACATACAGAAATGCTGAAAATGCATAAATTTATAATTGGACACAATTTTACAGAACTACTTTGTTACAATCTATTAACTGCAACTGCAAAACTACACAATGAAGTACTAACCAGAGTAACATTCTGCAGTGATGTCTCCACTGATTCAGTGCGAAGGTAGATGGACGCCTCGCTGATCGATGTTCCAAAGCGCTGAATGAGCAGATGAGATGTTGATGAAAATGTCTAAACAGGGCAATCTGGTAGCAAAAGTCTTACAGTCCAAATGAGATTGTAGCTTTACCTTGATGCAGGTCACAGCAGCCACAGTAGCGAAGTGCTGAGGAGGAAGCTGTAAAATCAGTGAACACCATGAGGTTAAAATAAAAAGGTAGTAAAACAGACAGAGACGGCAGAAAATATGATCACAGTGAAATTATGAACCTGCACCAATAACTGAGTCTCACCTCCGGGAACAAATGATAGAAATCGTTGCTGAGCACCCACCAGTGCTCAGACTCCAGCCCCTCACAGATGGTCTTGTGTTGGAGCTTCAACTCCACCAGCTGCAGGAATCATGTGAAAACATCTCATTAACTTCACCACTGTCACATTCAGAATCAAACTACAACAGTCAGTAAAGTGTTTCTCTGTGCTGAAAAGTGTATCATTGGCAAAATAATCAGCTGAAACGAACCTTCGCGCTGTCAAAACGTGGCTGTGAGAAGGTGTAAGCAAACATCCTGTTTGCTCTGTGCAAAGCTTGGCAGTGCTGCTACAGGGACAGAGGAGAATAAAGTGTTTAGGGGAGACTGCAGTACTAATCAGATATTAGTGGGAAAAATTCTTTCTTTGCATTTAATCAGTGTGAAGAGCAGAATTTTACCTCAAATCTCACCAGCGCTCCACAAGAAAGGGGTGGAATTAAGACCACCTGCTGCCAGCTGAGCACAGAAACCTCCTACAGCAAAGACAAATAAATGGTTAATACAGGGACACTGGTGTAGTCAAGTATGAATAAACTTTATCTTCATGATCTTTAGCCATTTCAAACTGATAAGTAAGAAAGACCACCTGTGGCATGGGGGCACAGCCTGAAGGAAAGATGGGCCGCTTGTGTTCCTCCGTTCCTGAGGACAATAGTTTAAATAGTAACTGACATGTTCAGGATCCTGAAGGGCTTTACAGTGTAAAGAGTATCTGCAGCACTGTTCAAAAACTCTCCTGAATGAAGGGCAGCTGAAGGGTCACTATGAGCTGACCGTTTGTTACTCTGGGGCCGAATTACAGAAACATCTTAACTCTGAAATCTTATCTGTTTAGTAACCATGACAACTTCAAGACAAAAGCTATTACAGAACAACAGTTCCTAACTTCATAATCTTATCCTAACTCCAGATGAGAAAACAGTATTACAGAAACATCCTAACTAGACAAATTTTCCTAAATACTGTCCTGACTTTAGAACAACACCAGTGTTACTCTAACTTCTGTTTTAACCGTCTGTTGCTATTATTTTTAGACAACTCTCAGATAACAGCAGAGCCCACTGATGGCAAAACGGGCAGCCCAATGGCTTTTTGGTCAGCGTTTTCCAGGCAGCCCACCGTTGGTTAAGCAGAGTATCAGACAAAATGTCACTTTTCATCACTTTTCCAATCACAGTCCAATTTTTCTTTACTTTCTTTTGTTGTCCTTTGTAAATAAGTTTAGTAAATAATTTTAATTTAGTACAGTGTCAGCAACAAAACTTTCAATAAAATCAAATCAGGCCTAGTCATTAAATATTTCCCCTGCAATGTGTTTCTTATTTTATTGTCCAAAATAAAAGTCTGCATGCATTTAAAATCTGTTTGTGGAGATTAAAAACTAATTAGATTTTGTAAGCAGGACAATAATCTGGGTGGTCTGAGGGTGGACCAGCATACAGTCAAGGGGGTGTCGACCTTATCGAGCCATTGGACCAATATCTGCTTAGTATCTGGGCTGTGACAGGCAGCATAGTTCACTACTAGCATAATGACGTTACATTTATTTATACTGCAAAATGGTGGGTTGACTTTTGAGATGTTTCTGTTTTTCTAAAAATCCCAGACACTGCAGACTCGATCTACACCGTCCCCTCTTATTGTCTTCGTGTGTTAATGTTGATGAAAACTCGTCTAATAAGATATTACAGTGATGGTGGTGAATAATGAGGAGACAGAGCTGAAAACTGACTTACATTTTTCACATTATTGTCACGAAGTGTTTACGTTTCGGCTGTGCACGTATCGTCTGTTGCTAGGTAACAGACATAACAACTGATTAGCTTTGCGCTAAAGTTAGCTAACGTTACTGACACAAAACGAAGGTGAAATCTGTAAAATCACCCAGTCTCGGCCTGTTAAAGTCTTCAACCGGTAACCTAAATAAAAAGTGCATTTTTTAAAAGCCTTTCTCTCCAAAACCCCCTCAGACCTGTTTGACACTAAAACACATCGTCAGCTGTAACTGCTGCAGTTCAGAACACGCTGTCAGGATCAGCAGCACTAAGTTTCGCTCTCTGCAGCCGTTATTCTACGTCAAGTGTCTCTCTTTGCGCTCTATGCTAGCAGAAATATCCGCTCGCTAACTCACCGTCGCAGCCGTCCGTCTGGGTCGCTGCATCTTGGTCCCTCGTCGTCCGCTGTCCGTCCAGGATCCGTCGCCACCTGTAAAAAAGAAAACAAGAGGTTACAGCTGCTGCTGAGATGCCGGCGGCACAAAGAACCGCTGGCCGCAGCTGAGCGCCGAAGATGAACAGAGGAAGCTTCATCTTAAAGCAGAAGGACTCCGGTAGTTCGCTGTGAGTGAGAGCTCAAGTGAAAGCAGCTTGCTCGTTTGGGTGTCGGTGAACGACTGAACGATTTCAGACTCTCAGCTTCTTTAGTGTTCTATGGAACGTTCTTTCACCTTGGTAACGTTCTTTAGTTCAAAACATCTTTATGTTACGTGACAACAGTGTTTGTTACATCCAGTCCATTATACTCACATCTCACCTCAGCTCAGTAAAACTCCTGAACACTCGATCAGTGGCTTGATTTTTACTAATTCAGCAGACAGGAAGCTCTGATCACGATGCAGTCTAAGGCAGATACGTTAGAGATCAGCTACAGAACTTTATCTGCTCATTTACTGAGCTGAAGTGCTGCTTGTTGCCTAAACGTTTCAGCAGCAGTGCATCTTTCCCAAATAACTCTCCCTATTTTGAGGGTAATCTAAACTAATGAAGTCCATTCTTTACATGTAAAAATGGTCAGACTGGATAAAAAGAAGCAGTTTAAACTTCACATGAAACACTAACATATTAAAATGCTTGGATTCCTGTACAATAAAGGGAAACCCTGGATGGGTGTCAGTCACAAGCTGAACTTGCTTTGGCTTGTTTGTCTTTGACACACTTTCACATCACCTACAGAACCACCTCTTTGTAAAACACAGTTCTAGACTTGTGTAAGTTAGACTGTATAATTCTACCATTACACCAAACCCTCCAGCCAGTCAGAATCAAAGCACTACAGCATGAAGAAAGAGATGATTGTGAACTTCAAATCTGTGGAGAGTCGAAATCCCCAAGTTCTGTGGTCTGCACATCACCGATGACCTCAGCTGGACAAAATTCTGCTACTAACATATAAAGCTCTGAACAGCTTTGCCCCTCAGTACCTGAGTGAACTTATCTCTTATTATGAACTGTCACTCTTACTACTACATTGACATATTATGTATTATGGTGAACTGTGGAAGTTGGTGCTGCCAGATTCAAGATTCAAGAGTTTTATTGTCATATGCACAGCAGAAACAGGCAGTTACACTGTACAATGAAATTCTTACTTTGCTGTTCCTCCATTCACCAAATATAATCTTAAAAATAGAAATATAAAAAATATATATATACTAAATACACAGAATAAGTAGAAATACACTAGAAACAATAGAAAAAAGTAAAAAAGTACAGTTATATGTGCAAAGTTGAAAGAAAAATTAAAGTTACGTTTGCGTATGTGCAAGTATGTAGAGTAGCAGTCCATAAAGTGCATGTTGCGAGTAACAGATGTAAACAGTAGTGCCAGTCCTGCTGCTCTCACACACTCACTCAGTATGTTGATGGTGAACTGGAGGGGCTCTGACCTGTTTGCTATGTTGTTTTTGTGCAACAAGTATTACATTCATGGCTAATTTGTTATAGAAATTAAACACAAATTAGACCCTGATTTAGTGAATGAACCTTTAATGGGAGTTTAAAGTCATCTTACAGAGAGATTAACACAGTAGCTCTGTGTAAAGGAGATTTAGACTGTATTTCCTGTAAAATAGCTCTACAAGTGGAATCAACTCAGAGTCTTAATCCTGCTGTGTCTTACAGGAAATTGTCCCCAAAGAATGTAAAAGGCAAGATGGAGATGAACAGTGAAAACACTGAGCAGTTTTTATAGCTTGTTGAACCAGTTCATGTTCCACTCTAAATGAACACATTATTATGAATATATAAAAAATTTAACCTTGACTTTAAAATACATTTTATATATTTTATACTATTTTCTCTGATGTGGATTTTGTCATGTCTGAGGTGCTCATGGTTAAGTTGAATGTCTCTTTTAAGTGTAACTTAAATAATGCAACTTTTAAAATTTTCTATCATGTATGTTGCCATGACAGGGTGGACGCATGCACATTAGGGTGGACATATACATGTCATGTGTTTGTTGTTTTCTTGTTGTTGTTCTTGGTTTTTTATATAAATTAATAGTTTCTATTAACTGTTAAACTACTGATGTTAAAGGAGTCAAACTGTTATGTCAAGGTTTTTAGAACAGGTTAATTTTTCGTCCTGTCACTCATCACACTGCAACAAGAGCACTTAAATAGTCAGCATGACCAAAACACAGACACATTCAGTCTCTCACTCACCCAGAGTCACTCTCCACTCTCAAATATAAGCTTAGGTATTTATTATGGACACACTGTTAATGAAACTACTGCCCTTGTTGTACATATGAAATGTTCTTGTCCACCCTGTCATATCCTGGTCCACCTCGTCATCTTCATGTTTTCTTAGAATGAATCAGAAATTCTTCACAGGTAAACAAACCATCATAATTGATTTATTATACATAACAGCCTCAAATGCACAGCACACCAATAATGACTCTTACGATTTTCTGCTCACTCCAAATACAGTCATTAAACAAAGACATGTTTGATGTCCAAGTTCTGCTTCTTTAGTGTAGTATTAGGGCTGTTAGGCTAACAGTGCTAATAAGCCTGCGAAGCAAATAGTCACCTAAATTGTTTCCTCAAATATAGGCCAAAATCTTCATATACTTGCTTCAAATTATGTTAATAAGCTACAAAAAACGTGTTCATAAAGCAGTTTAGTAGAACTGCATGAATATCCCTAATTTAAACATTTAATCTTAAACAGGAACTACATAATCATCTGTATAACGTCCTGTTTTTCGGTACTATTCCTTCTTCAAACTCTGAGAGGATGTAATGCAGGAGCGTGTTGTAAAATGTCACTATGCAGGTATGTAGCTTTAGCACAGTTATATCTCAGGCTTGCTAACTGTAAGACAGTCAGAAGTTGCATATGAAATTTTGATAAACCTACAAAAATGAGGTGTCATGTGATGCAGCAAAATTAACAGCAAAAGACTTTTATTCTAACATGTTCTTAAGAAAGAGTGGTGACCTAAACAAGACCCTAAGTGACCTTTATGTTCAAAACCAAGGTCAGTGGCCCTTTTATGACTATGAGTTTCAGTTTGTCAGTCAGGTGGTTTGTCCCCAGGAAAACCATAAAAAATTTGTTATTATTGTAATAATAAATGTTTGTATACTTGAAATGAACTTTTATACATACATTGTAAGAACAAAGGTTTAAATTGGTGTCCAAATACAAAGACTACTTTATACATATAAATTTGATTAAATATTAACTGATTATTATTTTTTATGTTTGGTTGCACCAACTGACATTGTCTTGGTGAAAAATTCAATGATCCAGTTTAAAATTGATTCATATCTATATGACAGCTATGCAAGTAATATAATAAATAAAATAAGTTCTTTATATATGTTCTATTTACATTTTATATTTTTATTTTAGTCCAAGCATGGATGCCAAACTGTTAGTAGACAAATAGCAGAACTGTAACTACAGCCAACAGTCTAGAACCCAGGCTGGAAAGCCTTCTAGCAGGATCTCAGTAAAGAGTCCACATATATTACACAAAGCAGATTCACTGCTTTAACACAAAAACCTCTGAGCTGGTTGGTAGCTTGTTGTCTGACGATGAGATGAAGTAACATCTTCTAAATCAGTCCATGGCTAGAATGATGATAACAGATCTTGAGTATGATGTCAGCGGTGATGCTGCTCCCGCTGATGAAAATAAAAAATCAGATGACGACAATGTCCAGTGGTTCACGATTGATGACCATCAGGAATGGTCAATCTGTTCAGTCTTCCTGTAACACCAAAATACTCTGAATGCAACGATTCAATTATGTAGAACTTTTGAAAACACAGGAGAATTTCCCTTCATTATTGATCAGTATGATTATGATTATTTTCTACCATTTCTCCAGTCTGGTGATGAGTAGGTGTGATACTCCACCGTCACACTCTGAGAGGTAAACATTCAGAGGCTCGTCTGACTACACATAACTGCATCTAAAACACACACAAACACACACACACACACACACACACACACACACACGCACACACACCACACACACACACACACACATAGAATTAAAAAAAAAGTATAATTTGTGTTACAAAAATTTCTATTACTATAATAATAAGGTAAAACTGTGTGATATTAAAGTGTAGAGTGTCGGTGATTAAAAGCCTGGTGGGGGTCCTTTTGGTTTGATACTGGTGCGCACGATAAGTAATATTTTCATCAATGGACAGGCCATGAACAGAGAACTAAAGAACTAGTTCATTTAACTTTGAACAGGGTCCGCGGGGATGGGGGGGCACAGAAGATGAGGAAAAAAGCTGAGTTCCCCTTTTGCTTCTCGACTGAACACTGGCCAATAATCCATTGTGTAACGAGAGTTAAGGAGATTAAAAGGATTTTTTTGAAAGAAAAGTAATGTTTGATCACATTTATCATCAACACATTTCAGTGATTCTTTAAGGTGATGGAGAGAAAGAATATGAAATAAAATGAATGAAGTGTCCACTTCAGTATCACATTAGTACCAGCAAAAAACACTTCATGTATTTTATAGGTGTACCTACCTGCTAAAGGCTCGCTGACAGGATTTAACTCTAAGGGCGTGACCATTCAGACCAATCAGAAGTGAACGGCTCGAGCCCCTGACCAATCAGAAGACGAAGTAGTGTGTGCTTACACATTTAAATGGGCAATGCTTTATCGGTATATCCTCATAAGACCTGGGAATTTATTTTTTGTCTTCAGTGGGGTCATGAGCGTCCAAGGGATATTTCAAAACCATATAAGCTACAGTGCTGAAACCTGGTCCGTCATGTAGAGGACATCCTGACCTTTTCAATTCGCAACAGGAGTTCTGCCTTTTTAAATTGCCTGTCATCTCAGCAAAAACATTATATGCATGCAAAAGAAATAGTAAAACATCATTCATGATTTGTTATTCATTAAATCAATAACTAAAGCAGAAACAAAATCACTAAGGGTTTTTTTTGCATCTCAACGGCTAAAATTTTGAAAAATCTGGACTCCAACATACACTCTGTGCTGTCGGCTGCACGTCTCAAATGTATGTTAACTGTAACGGAAGTTACAGAGGTACCTTCCAGAGAACAATGCGGGGGCGTTAACGACACAACATTTTAGGGTCAGTGTGAAAAGACCACTAAAGGACAAAAGTCAAATCAGGCAGGTTGTGGTGAGCACAAGTATTTGTGACAGAGATGGAGACCCTTAAAATATTTTTGATACCACTATGATTGCGCTCATTTCCTGTGGCATCTGCCGTGTTTCTTAGATGCATGTTTACTCATGTGTACATGCGGACAGCTGGAAATCCTGTACAAGGCATCTGCGTGGAACGCCCTCCTGGCTGGATAACGTTTAGCGCTGACCAGCCTGATGGTGCTTGGACTGCCTGCACAAGACAGAACACACACTAGGGCATCCACATTCAGAAGGGCCAGCTAAAAATTCACCGCAGGAGCGCGAATGACGACGAATAAGGCTGGGCGAGGGAGGATACCAGAGCAGATGACAAGTTTACTTCGCGTCATCAGTTTAAAAGATAGCCTAATAATAATAATTATAATAATAATCTTTTTTTTTTATATAGCACTTTTTATGCCGGTGGCAGCTCAAAGTGCTTTACAGACAGGTTATAGAAGACATATTTATAGAAGAAATTATAAGTATTTATTAGTATTTATTTAGAAACAGAAGAAAATGACAGATCAAATTAGAAGATAAACACCACGAGATGTAGAGGCTTAATTAAATGCTAAGTTAAAGAGATATGTTTTTAGCTGCTTCTTAAAAGTGAGCACTGAGCTTGACTGTCTAATAAAAGGTAGAATTGAGTTCCACAGTGTAGAAGCATAATAACTGAAAGCCTCTCCATGTTTTCTGTATTTTACAGAGGGTATTTGTAGAAGGCCACTATCTGCAGATCTTAGATTACGTGCTGGAACATAAACAGACAGACACTCTGAGATCTAAGTGCTGCTTTAAGGTCATTTAGAGCTTTAAAAACTAGTAGCAGAACTTTAAAATCCATCCTGAATGATACAGGTAGCCAGTGCAGTTCTTTTAAAATGGGAGTGATGTGTTCTCTCTTTTGTTTTTGTTAGGATGCTGCTGCATTAGGTACGAGTTGTAAGGGATGTATTGTTTTCTTAGGAAGTCCAGTAAGAAGATAATTACAGTAATCAAGCCTGCTTGTAACAAATGCATGAACAAGTTTCTCTGTGTCGCTCTGAGATAGAAAAGGCAGAACTTTAGTAATATTTCTCAAAAGATAGAAAGCTACTTTAGTGGCTGCGTTTACATGCAGGATAGAACAGAGTTCAGAGTCTGAGATCACACCCAGGTTTTGTACTTTAGGTTTGGTATAAGGAGCTAAAGAACCAAGTTTCTTATAAATCATTTTTTTCTCTGAGTTTCTGTACTAACGATCAATATTTAAGTTTTTTTATGATTTAATTGTAGAACATTTTGCAACATCCACTGAGAAATATCTGACACACAGCTGGTTAGTCTGTCTACAGAGTCTTGATCATCAGAAGGAATGGAAATGTATAACTGGATGTCATCAGCATAGCTTTAAATTTATATTATGCTTCGTAATGACATCACCTAAAGGTAGCACGTACAAAGATAAAAGCAAAGGCCCTAGGACTGAACCTTGAGGGACTCCAAAAGAAATGCCAAATCTTTTTTGATGAGTGAAACCATAAACTGCGTAATGTACCTGCAGTTTAGTTTTCCTCCATAAGCGCTCTAATTTACGACAATTTCTCTTAAGCTGGTGTATTTCTGCATTCATCCATGGATTTATATGAGTACGCGAGTTTTTCTTCCATTTTACTGGCACAATAATGTCAAGGGTTTCCCGTAATCTAGCACTTAGATCAGAGATTAGATCATTACAGGATGGAGTCAGATCTGTGTTTGCTGAGCTATTATAAACGCTTCTAAACTTCTCAACTGTTTCTGAGTCAATGTACTGTTTTTATAGTAACTTTCAGGTACTTTCTTCTTTACTTCTAAATTGATTTGAAAGAAAATACAGAAATGATCTGATATGAAAACATAAGAGATTTGGGACACATTTGTGGGTAGAGCTGCCCACGTGCTGCTTCAAATCAAATGTCTCTAGAAGTCTAATGAATTCTAATGCATTACTATCTGAAGGATTATTAATATGTAAGTTAAGGTCCCCAGAGAGAAGAGTATTATCATAGTTTGTGGAGGCAACTGATAATTTCACAATTTTGCCTTGGAGGTCTGTATATTACAATTATTAACACAGAAGTATCACTAAAAAGGTTGACTGCAACATACTCAGAAGACATGAATTCACCAATAGTAACACTTTTTGCAGTTCAAGTCATTATTATGAATACATGCCTCTCCTCCTCCTCATCTGCCCTGTCTTACAGTATGCATACATCTGTAGTTTTCAGGAGCAGCTTCAAGTAGAGTCGCTGTGCCGTTGTCATTAAGCCACGTTTCAGACAAAAACATAAAATCTAGTTTATGCTCTTTAATAAGATCTCGAATCAGCAGTGTTTTGTTATTTAGTGACCTTACGTTGAGCAGAGCGAGGTTTAATGCCCGTGTTTCCTACCGTTAAGTCCAGTCAGTACTTTCTCAATATTGTCGGACAGAATAACAGACCTACAGTGGCTCAGGTGTAGTCCATTCCTGCGGTAAAATGCCGGTTGCTCCCAGAAAACACTCCAGTTTTTCACGTAGACGACGCCATTGTTCTTACACCAGCCTTAGAGCCAGCAGTGCAGCGCATAGAACCTGCTGAACACCTCGCTTCCTCTCCGGTAGGATGGCAGCGGTCCCGAGATGATGATCCTGGCCTTGGTTCTCTTCTTAACGGTGAGGAGAAGTAATCCGAAATGCTCCTTGAGGACTTCACTTTGATGGGATGAGATTTCGTTCACCCCCCCGTGTGAATGACCACGGTGCTGACGTCCCCGTGTTTGCTCAGAGCCGTGGGAAACCGCTTGGAAATATCCAAGACCCGGGCGCCTGGAAAACAGACAGCAGCATTACTTCCGGAGCCAGATACGTTTAGATGTCTCACTAAAGAGTCTCTAATTCTAACAACACTCTCCTGATTCTCTGTCCGAGGCACTGAAGCAGGTGGCGAGCTGAGGGCTTCAAATCGATTACTGGAGGTGAAATTCAGCGAATAATTGCTGGAAGAATTGGTGAAAACCTTCTCTTTCCCTGGCCACGCTGGCGTTCCCAGCCCTGCTCCGGTGCGGGTGTGAAGATGGGCAATCCCAGTGTTAACCATGGTGGTAGCGCTCCATATGGTGGAGTAGAAGTTGCCACCGGGCTTAGTCCTAAAACAGCCATGTACAATGTGTCCTGGGCTGCTTCCAAACAGGTTTTACAGTCGTGGAGCTCAGTCTGCCGCTTCAGGAGAGCCCTGATCTGCTGATCCAGCTGCTACAGCTCTCTGCTCAGCGTCTGGAGCTCGTGTTCAGTGACGGCCACCATTTTGTCAGCATCCAAATAAAGAAATAAAGTTAGTTAAAAATTGAAAAAACAACATTGTAAGAGTACAGAAACAATTAAAAAAATAAATATTTAGTTCAAGAAAGTAACTTGAAAGATTGATAACAAGATAAAGGAGCAAAACATAACAATCAGTGAACGAGCAAAACACAAACGTGCGAAATATGTGACCAGTTTATTCTAAATGTCCTAGAAAGGAGGAGAATGATCAGTTCTCTTGTTTATATCTCATAATAAAACACTACACAAGTGTCATAAACACACCTCAGAAGCAGAACAGGATGCCTGTCCATTTCATGGCCGTAGAGATGCTCTGGCTGAAGTCGCTGTGCAAGCGGATGCCACTGAAGGAGCTGGAGCAGGTGGACAAGCTGTGAACAAAGAGACAAAGTCAACAAAAAAAAATAGCTTTTTTGTTTTTGTACAAATAAATGTGACAAAATGAACAAATAGATAACTTCCTAAAAATGAAATCCTAGCGCAGACCTCCTGTGTCTGCATCCTTCCGTTTGTGCTCGCTGCTCAGCCTGTTTAAATGATTTTAAACTGAACTTAACGTCTTGCGTTAATTTTTTTATTCAGTGCTTCAAGGTCTTTAACAATAAGTACAACCAATATAAAACTGTTTACGGCTCATGAAAATCACCCGTCTGCATTTTACATTCGATGTTCTTCAACTGCAACTGATTGGAGCGATACATCCAGAGGTAACAGGAGGCATTTTGCCAAATTCTTATACATGGCTTACCGCAAAAGCCCTCCCAAACGTGCCGCGTTTTCCAGCAGCCTATTTAAAGCGTTTACTCACCTTAACGTCACCTATACTTTTATCCACAACAACCATTCAAACCAAACCTTTACCTCACTTCATCATGATGCTCATTCCATTTCTTTTACAAGAAGTTGTCACTGTATATCAACAGTAATAATTTTGCCACTGGAGCTTACAGACCACTGTAGTCGTGTGGTCATTTTGTAGTCTGCGTCATGCTCTTATGCCCATATTAGGAACTCCTCGATTTCTCTATGGCCAGAATGAATAGTGTTTTCAAAACTAAGCTCCAACGCACCTTGTGGAAGATGTTCAGAACCCGATAAGTTTTGTCCTAGTCCTTGTCTTGAGCATTTGTTTCCCCCCCCGAGTGCATGCAAAATAAATACGTCCACTCGTACATATATCTCCCTGTACATATATCAAGTGACAAAACAATGTTGGTGAAATTTGCGTAAAACTCATTTAATGATCAGAACTGACAGTACGCAACTTCGATTAATGAGGGCCATTTGTTGAATTAATCAAGTTTCGAAATAGTTTCCATCTACCTTTCAAGAATAATTCCAAAGATTTTTGAAACCTTCTGCATTATTAAATCAATAATATGTACATAAAGACATTCAGAGTGGTTTGATGTGAAATGCTCTATTCCAGAGAAACTTTTCAAATCAAAGTTGTTCACAGTGTTGATGATAGTAACCATCTGGTTAATGCCTCTAAAACGTCTCTCGCCGATGGTTATTACGAGAAAATATTAAGAATGCACTGCCTGAAAGCTGAAACATTGTTTTACGATGTTTTTTTTTTACTTCTTTTTTTTAACCATTCATGGCAGAGAGGTACAGGCAGAGGGTTTTAAGTTAACAGCTCGCCCAGAGAAAACTTCTTTCCAAAGTGTACTTTTATTTTACCATTATCAATATTGTATACTAAAAGAATCAGTTTTTAAATGTAAAGTGTTCAGGCTCACTGCTCAATTTGCACAGTACATAAAATAGTGAGTTTTCACTTCAGGGAAGCTAACACATCTTTTCAGGATGGTTCTGTAAAAATCCTGTATGTTGTGGAAAACAGTATTCATCAATATGTTTATGGAGAAGTTTAATTGGTAACCTGTTTCCTACATTGTTTTGTGCAACAACTACATTTATGACTGATTTATTATATTTTTTAAGGACAGTTAAAAAAAAAAGAAATCAGACAAAGTCAATTCTGATCTCATTGGAGCACAACCAGTTAAAAAAGTACTGTTTATTGTTGTTTATTATTGATCTTCCATGAACAATCAGGTACAAAAGCACATGCATAACACTGTGTGAGGTCACCACCAGCCTACAGTCTTCACCCTGACGGTGACCTGTCCTCTTCTACAACACACCCCATATAATTCACTCCCTAACACAGAACAACAAAACACACACCACAACAGAACAACACCAACAACGATAAAAAGGATCTTTTTAAACTGGTGCATGCATCTCATTATCTGAACTAGTATTCAGGCAATAGTGACCTCTGCTGGCGAGGATGGGCGTTGTCAGAACCCCCATCCCACCTCATCCCTCCAAACCTAGAACACACTAAAGGGAGTTAAACCAGTGGAGGAGCAAATAAAGGAGTTCTGCGTATATTCTGCCCATGGTAAAAAGCAAGACCAATCATTTTGTGCCCTTCCACAATATGATCTTAGAAAGCCCCCTGTTTCTTGGTTAAGTCGCTCTGCCTGCCCATTCGAGTGCGGATGATACCCTGAAGTGAGACTAACATTGATGTTGAGTTGTTTGCAAAATACTTTCCATACGTGTGATGTGAGCTGAGGACCCCTGTCAGATACTCTGTCTTCTGGTAGGTCATAGAATCGGAAGACCTGATGAAACAACGCTTCTGCGGTTTCCATAGCTGTTGGCAGTTTCTTCATCGGGACCAATCTGACTAAGCAAGACTTAGAGAATCGATCAATAACCACTAATATGGTTGTGTAGCCTTGTGAACTAGAGAGATCAGTCATGAAGCCAATACTCACATGAGACCATGGTCTGAGTGGAATGGGCAAGGGCTCCAACAGCCTTGGACATGGAAAATATGTTAAAACATCTGGGCTTTCCACCGAGGCGGCTCTAAAGTGTAAGGAAATACAGATCTGAAAACAGTTTGAACCCCACTGAACAATTCCTCTTTCTCCCCAAGCTATCATGGGTTGATGCCCGCAGTTCCGGAATCGATCAATGCTGAAACATTAAAACCTGTGAACCCAAAGACAAACAGACTACAATGGACATATTCTTGTCTCTGATAAAGGAATAGTTCAACAAATTCACCTCCAACGTCCAAGCTGAGAGAGGATGTCCGGTGCAGGTACCAAGCATATGATCAGCATGACCACAGTAGAGGACACTGCAGAGCGGTAATTCCAGAGAAGTTATAGAGAAAACCGGCTCTGGTGATTCTCCTCTCTACAAGTTCTCTGATTAAACTCAGGTCCATGATCTGAACTAGTTTTTAGGCGACAGTGACCTCTGCTGGCGAGGAGGGGCAGCGGATGTGACATTAAAGAAGATTTAGACCGTATTTACTGTAAAAGAAGAGGAATCAAATCTTAATCCTGCTGTGTTTTACAGGAAATTGTCTCCAAAAAAAGTAAAAGACAAGATGGACATGAACAGTGACAACACTGAGCTGTTTTTAAAGCTTGTTGATAGTGATGTTAAGTTTGATTCACTTTACTGAACCAGTTCTTTTAAACTGTCCTTAAATCTCACCTCACCTAATGTTTCACCTCCTCCATGTACAAAATAGTTTCTGTACACACATAGTCAGATTTGAAAAAAGGTCCATTTAAATGAATAATATGGATAAATTTCATAATTATTGGTCAATGTCAATGTAAAATGCCTTCGGTGTCCCCAAGTTTTACTCTGATTGAACAAAATATTATGAATATATAAGAATGATAACCTTCACTTTAAAATACATTTTGTACATTTTATACCATTTGTTTTCTTTGATGTGGAGATGGGATTTTGACATGTCTGAGGTGCTCATTATTAAGTTGATTGTCTTTTTCAAATTGCTAGATTTTCTTGAAGTTTTTAGTTTGGGCATTTAGGCATTTAGATTATTCATAAAATTATCAAGCTATTCACACATGTCCAAGATTTGCTGTCCACTCTGTCATCTTAGGATATCTGACCCTTTAAGAAAGTGACCTCGGACATCAGTGACATCAAACCAGTCATAGTATCTTCAAAGGACTAAATTCAGTAAATATATAAGTTAATTAAACTTAATATTTCTCACATTGTCTCTATAATTAGCTGAGGTGAAACTTAAGATGTCCACCCTGTCATGGTGAAATATTGAGTTAATTAAAATAATTTAGAATATCAAAATAAATCTTTGGAACAAAACAAGGTCATCTTGAACATTTCAACATGTCTGCAGCTGTAGGTCAACCATGTGTTCATCATTTGCTAACTTTAGCTAAAATTGTCCACCCTGTCATTGTCAGTGATAGGGTGGACAAATACATGACAATTCTTATCTTTTCTCTTCTTGTTGTTCTTGTTTTTTTATATAAAATATTAGTTTCTATTAACAGTTAAACTGTTATTTCAAGGTTTTTAAAACAGGTTAATTCTTCGTCCTGTCACTCATCACACTGTAACAAGAGCACTTAAATAGTCAGCATGACCAAAACACAGACACATTCAGTCTCTCACTCACCCAGAGTCACTCTCCACTCTCAAATATAAGCTTAGGTATTTATTATGGACACACTGTTAATGAAACTACTGCCCTTGTTGTAAATATGAAATGTTCTTGTCCACCCTGTCATATCCTGGTCCACCTCGTCATCTTCATGTTTCATTAGAATAGATCAGAAATTCTTCACAGGTAAACAAACCATCATAATTGATTTATTATACAGAACAGTGGGTAATTCAAGTAATTTTATTGCATTTTTGTTCAAAGATGTTACTGTTACTATATTGTTTGGGGGGATAAAAGGATGTTGGATGTGGATACGGTGGGGAAAGAAACAAATTTCATAACAAAATCTATCATTTTCAGGGGCCATAAGAGTTACTGTTGAAAAGAGACAACAACGTCTCTCTGAAAATGACTCTATAGTTTCTACAACACTTTATGAACACCATTTATATATGTTGTCTTTTTCCATGACAGGGTGGAGAGAACTTGTGGTTGTGTCATAAGATGCTGACTTGACATTGCAAAATAAAGTGTTTAAGCTTCACTCAGACGTTTTCTGCGTATTATAGTCTTTTAGCAATGATGAATATTTAAAGTAATTAAAAATCTTAAGTCATTTTTTGAAAGTTCTGAGGTTCTAAAGGCACAGCATACTGATAATGACCCTAGGACTGCTAAGGTAACGGTGCTGACAAACACTGGAATTTAATAGTGACTTAAACCGTTTCCACAAATATATGCCAAAATCTTTATATACTTGTTTCAAATTATGTTGATAAACTACCTAAACTCAATAAATAAAAGCAGTTTAGTAGAACTGCATGGATGTACCTTATTTACACCTTTAATCTTAAACTGGAACATTATGCAGGTGTGTAGCTTTAGCACAGTTATATCTGAGGCTTAAGACAGTTAAAAGCTGTATATCCAATTATGATAAAACCTACCAAAGTGAGGAGTTGTCATGTCATGTAGCAAAACCAACAGAAGAGGCCTTTTATTTTGACATCCTTAAAAAAGAGTGGTGACCCAAACAAGATCCAAAGTGACCTTCATGGTGCAATACCAAGGTTAGTAGCCCTTTCCTGAGTAAAAATGTAAAAACTGTAATTTATTGTCAGTCAGGTGGTTTGACCCCAGGAAAACCATAAAAATGTGTCATTATTATAATAATGTTCATATATTTAAAATAAAATGTATGTATGAATGTAAGTTCAAGAACAAAGGCCTAAATTGGTGCCCAAGAAGAATGCCTACTTTATAAGTTTTAATTAGTGGTCAATCTGATTAAATATTAATTGATTATTATTATTATTGATTATTATGATTATTATAAATTGATGCATGAATTTATACCTTTATAGCAGCTCTGAAACAAATATAAATACATTGAACAGATTCTAGCAGGTATAAAAATGCACCTCACATCTTTTTTTCATAAGAATTTTTCAAATAATAATTTTGACAGTCTTATTTGACCCAAAAGGTAAAAATTAGAACAAAGCTATTTGTTTGTGACATTGAAATAAATTCAGACTTTACTGAAAAATCTTCATAGGGTTGTTATAAATACTCTGCAAATACATTTTACACAACAGAAATGAAGATTATTATATGCTGTTGAAAGTTGGCACTATTTTTTATTGCCAATAATTAATTATGAACTTATTTTTTTTATTTATTACAGTCAAAATCCCATCTGAATGATGATTAGTCCGAGCATGGATGCCAAACTGTTAGTTATAGACAAATATCAGATCTGTAACTACAGCCAACAGTCTAGAACCCAGGCTGGGAAGCCTTCTAGCAGGATCTCAGTAAAGAGTCCATGTATATTACACAAAGCAGATTCACTGCTTTAACACAAAAACTTCTGAGCTGGTTGGTAGCTTGTTGTCTGATGATGAGATGAATTAATATCTTCTGACTCAGTCCATGGCTAAGATGATGATGATAACTGAGATCTCAATGAGTATGATGGCAGAGGTGATGCTGATGAAAACAAAAATCGGATGACGACAATGTCCAGTGGTGATGATGGCACTGATCTCCTCTTCATGGGTCCTGATGTCTCTAATCTTCCTGGGTCTGTGGCTAAGATAATAATGATGATGTCAGTGGTGATGCTGCTGCTGATCAAAGTCCAGTGATGGTTGATGGTGATGTCTCTAAGGGTCTTGCTGCACTTCTTGTCAAGGCTTCCTTCGACGTACATCCTCTGATCTGGTCCAGAAACTGAACAGTCCTCTTGTCCAGAGTTCCTTGATGACATGTAGGAATCACTGCTGTCTAGAGCCTCTAATCCAGGAAGAATGATGCACTGGAACCCTGAATGAAGCACAGTGAGAAAGAAAGAAAGTAAGAGACAGAGTAAAGCTCTATTCAGATGGGTTTAGTTTTCCATGAGGAGGTGGGGCAATGCCAGTTTACCTCAGGACATCTGTAATGTTTATGAGCGATTCACACAGGATAAGAAATTTCGGGCTAAATGACAGAGATGGGAGTGGAGTTTCCACAAAATACAATACTGTTTTACCAACATTTCGATTTGCACAGGATTAATATAACCTGAGGTTATTTTTATGGCTCATTTTACAGAAGATAAAAGGCACCAGAATCTTTACTGACACGGGAGCACACAGTCGGTTATAATGGATGACTGACATGGGACTAAAATCACTGAGAAACGCTAGTAAAAGTTACTTTATCCCACCTCATCATGTAAAACTAATTCCATCTGAACCGGGCTTAAGATATTCTAAACATGGTTAAATAAAATCTAATAGATGTGATATTCTCTGAAATCTGTGAATATTAAAAGATGAAGAGGAAAGAACAGATGGGGTGATTAAAAGAGAGAGATCTAAAGTGCTCCAGATAGAGTCATAAATATTAAATTTGGAGGTGTTTTCGCCTTTTACCCAAAGTTATTTACGCTGAATGGAGTTCTCTGAATCTCTGTCTTTTAACCTTAAAACACAAATACAGGTTTTACTTCTGAGAAAAAGAATTTAGATACACTCAAAATTAAATTACGTGTCAACAAAATAACTCTCATGTACTGATGTACATTTTGGTAAGTATTTGAATTTAAATTTCTCTATAATGAAAGAATTAAGATTTAACCAAAATGATTCTGAGAGGTTTGATGTGAAATGCACTGTTTTAAAGAAACTTTGTTCACAGTGGAACCAGACGTCTGAAGAGTTTGATGCCTCTGAAAGCTTCCTCACGGAAAGTTATTATACACAGATGGTTATAAATACACTGTACATACACAGTAGTTTTGAGATAACGTCATGGACTAAAACAATTTTTTTAATACTTTTGTGGTGGAGGGGTACATGCAGGGTGTTGTAAGGCAATATAGTCCCTAATAAAATCTTATTTTTTCAGATGTAGAACTATTTTACTATCACTAAGATTACATATAAAACGCGTGTTGGTTTACTACTTTGGATAGTAAATAAAATGCCTGCGCTGTAGACATCACAAACCCTGGTGCCTATCAGCAGCAATATAAAGAAATCTAAATCTTCACGTTTCGCTACAGTAAACTATTTCACATCAAATTGAAATCTGAAATTTTGAACAATTATTGTTATTCCCCTTTGAAATAAATATTATTTCATACCATGTCTCCAGTCTAGAGATGAGTAGATGTGATGATCCACTGTCATGCTCTCAGAGGTAAACATTCAGGGGCTCTCCTGGATACACAGGAAACTGCATCTGAAAAACACACACACACACACACACACACACACACACACACACACACTTTCACAGAATGTTAGAAAAAACAATATAATTAGCATTACTAAAACTACAGTTACTATGATAAAGAAATTTAAAATATATATATGATATCAAAGATATGTAGAGTGTGATTAGAAGCCTGGAGGGGGTCCTCTTGGTTTGCTGGAAACCATGAATGGTGACGGTGTCTCAAGGATCCGTGTGTTGCTGGACCGATGAGTCCTGAAACAGCCATCTGAACCAATGGACACCATCTTCAGTGTCTTCGACACTTTGGTTTGCTGCAAAACACACATAGAGAAATGCTGAAAATGCATAAATTTATAATTGGACACAATTTTACAGAACTACTTTGTTACAATCTATTAACTGCAACTGCAAAACTACACAGTGAAGTACTAACCAGAGTAACATTCTGCAGTGATGTCTCCACTGATTCAGTGCGAAGGTAGATGGACGCCTCGCTGATCGATGTTCCAAAGCGCTGAATGAGCAGATGAGATGTTGATGAAAATATCTAAACAGGGCAATCTGGTAGCAAAAGTCTTACAGTCCAAATGAGATTGTAGCTTTACCTTGATGCAGGTCACAGCAGCCACAGTAGCGAAGTGCTGAGGAGGAAGCTGTAAAATCAGTGAACACCATGAGGTTAAAATAAAAAGGTAGTAAAACAGACAGAGACGGCAGAAAATATGATCACAGTGAAATTATGAACCTGCACCAATAACTGAGTCTCACCTCCGGGAACAAATGATAGAAATGGTTGCTGAGCACCCACCAGTGCTCAGACTCCAGCCCCTCACAGATGGTCTTGTGTTGGAGCTTCAACTCCACCAGCTGCAGGAATCATGTGAAAACATCTCAGTAACTTCACCACTGTCACATTCAGAATCAAACTACAACAGTCAGTAAAGTGTTTCTCTGTGCTGAAAAGTGTATCATTGGCAAAATAATCAGCTGAAACGAACCTTCGCGCTGTCAAAACGTGGCTGTGAGAAGGTGTAAGCAAACATCCTGTTTGCTCTGTGCAAAGCTTGGCAGTGCTGCTACAGGGACAGAGGAGAATAAAGTGTTTAGGGGAGACTGCAGTACTAATCAGATATTAGTGGGAAAAATTCTTTCTTTGCATTTAATCAGTGTGAAGAGCAGAATTTTACCTCAAATCTCACCAGCGCTCCACAAGAAAGGGGTGGAATTAAGACCACCTGCTGCCAGCTGAGCACAGAAACCTCCTACAGCAAAGACAAATAAGTGGTTAATACAGGGACACTGGTGTAGTCAAGTATGAATAAACTTTATCTTCATGATCTTTAGCCATTTCAAACTGTTAAGTAGGAAAGACCACCTGTGGCATGGGGGCACAGCCTGAAGAAAAGATGGCCCGCTTGTGTTCCTCCGTTCCTGAGGACAATAGTTTAAATAGTAACTGACATGTTCAGGATCCTGAAGGGCTTTACAGTGTAAAGAGTATCTGCAGCACTGTTCAAAAACTCTCCTGAATGAAGAGCAGCTGAAGGGTCACTATGAGCTGACCGTTTGTTACTCTGGGGCCGAATTACAGAAACATCTTAACTCTGAAATCTTATCTGTTTAGTAACCATGACAACTTCAAGACAAAAGCTATTACAGAACAACAGTTCCTAACTTCATAATCTTATCCTAACTCCAGATGAGAAAACAGTATTACAGAAACATCCTAACTAGACAAATTTTCCTAAATACTGTCCTGACTTTAGAACAACACCAGTGTTACTCTAACTTCTGTTTTAACCGTCTGTTGCTATTATTTTTAGACAACTCTCAGATAACAGCAGAGCCCACTGATGGCAAAACTGGCACCCCAATGGCTTTCTGCTCAGTGTTTTCCAGACAGCCCACCGGTGGTTAAACAGAGTATCAGACAAAATGTCACTTTTCATCACTTTTTACCACTCACAGTCAATTATTTATTTTCTTTACTTTCTTTCTTTCTTTTGTTGCCTTTTGTGAATTAGTTTAGTAAAGAATTTTAATTTAGCACAGTGTCAGCAACAACACTGTCAACAAAATCATATTATATCAGGCCTAGTCATTAAATATTTCCCCTGTAATATTTTTCTTATTTTATTGTCCAAAATAAAAGTCTGCATGCATTTAAAATTTGTTTGTGGAGATTAAAAACTAATTAGATTTTGTAAGCAGGACAATAATCTGGGTGGTCTGAGGGTGGACCAGCATACAGTCAAGGGGGTGTCGACCTTATCGAGCCATTGGACCAATATTTGCTTAGTATCTGGGCTGTGACAGGCAGCATAGTTCACTACTAGCATAATGACGTTACATTTATTTATACTGCAAAATGGTGGGTTGACTTTTGAGATGTTTCTGTTTTTCTAAAAATCCCAGACACTGCAGACTCGATCTACACCGTCCCCTCTTATTGTCTTCGTGTGTTAATGTTGATGAAAACTCGTCTAATAAGATATTACAGTGATGGTGGTGAATAATGAGGAGACAGAGCTGAAAACTGACTTACATTTTTCACATTATTGTCACGAAGTGACTGCACGTATCGTCTGTTGCTAGGTAACAGACATAACAACTGATTAGCTTTGGGCTAAAGTTAGCTAACGTTACTGACACAAAACAAAAGTGAAATCTGTAAAATCACCCAGTCTCGGCCTGTTAAAGTCTTCAACCGGTAACCTAAATAAAAAGTGCATTTTTTAAAAGCCTTTCTCCCCAAAACCCCCTCAGACCTGTTTGACACTAAAACACACCGTCAGCTGTAACTGCTGCAGTTCAGAACACGCTGTCAGGATCAGCAGCACTAAGTTTCGCTCTCTGCAGCCGTTATTCTACATCAAGTGTCTCTCTTTGCGCTCTATGCTAGCAGAAATATCCGCTCGCTAACTCACCGTCGCAGCCGTCCGTCTGGGTCGCTGCATCTTGGTCCCTCGTCGTCCGCTGTCCGTCCAGGATCCGCCGCCACCTGTAAAAAAGAAAACAAGAGGTTACAGCTGCTGCTGAGATGCCGGCGGCACAAAGAACCGCTGGCCGCAGCTGAGCGCCGAAGATGAACAGAGGAAGCTTCATCTTAAAGCAGAAGGACTCCGGTAGTTCGCTGTGAGTGAGAGCTCAAGTGAAAGCAGCTTGCTCGTTTGGGTGTCGGTGAACGACTGAACGATTTCAGACTCTCAGCTTCTTTAGTGTTCTATGGAACGTTCTTTCACCTTGGTAACGTTCTTTAGTTCAAAACATCTTTATGTTACGTGACAACAGTGTTTGTTACATCCAGTCCATTATACTCACATCTCACCTCAGCTCAGTAAAACTCCTGAACACTCGATCAGTGGCTTGATTTTTACTAATTCAGCAGACAGGAAGCTCTGATCACGATGCAGTCTAAGGCAGATACGTTAGAGATCAGCTACAGAACTTTATCTGCTCATTTATTGAGCTGAAGTGCTGCTTGTTGCCTAAACGTTTCAGCAGCAGTGCATCTTTCCCAAATAACTCTCCCTATTTTGAGGGTAATCTAAACTAATGAAGTCCATTCTTTACATGTTAAAACGGTCAGACTGGATAAAAAGAAGCAGTTTAAACTTTACATGAAACACTAACATATTAAATGCTTGGATTCCTGTACAATAAAGGGAAACCCTGGATGGGTGTCAGTCACAAGCTGAACTTGCTTTGGCTTGTTTGTCTTTGACACACTTTCACATCACCTACAGAACCACCTCTTTGTAAACCACAGTTCTAGACTTGTGTAAGTTAGACTGTATAATTCTACCATTACACCAAACCCTCCAGCCAGTCAGAATCAAAGCACTACAGCATGAAGAAAGAGATGATTGTGAACTTCAAATCTGTGGAGAGTCGAAATCCCCAAGTTCTGTGGTCTGCAGATCACCGATGACCTCAGCTGGACAAAATTCTGGTACTAGCGTATAAAGCTCTGAACAGCTTCGCCCCTCAGTAACTGACAGAACTTATCTCTTATTATGAACTGTCACTCTTACTACTACATTGACATATTATGTACTATGGTGAACTGTGGAAGTTGGTGCTGCCAGATTCAAGATTCAAGAGTTTTATTGTCATATGCACAGCAGAAACAGGCAGTTACACTGTACAATGAAATTCTTACTTTGCTGTTCCTCCATTCACCAAATATAATCTTAAAAATAGAAATATAAAAAATATATATTTAATACACAGAATAAGTAGAAATACACTAGAAACAACAGAAAAAAGGACAGTTATATGTGCAAAGTTGAAAGAAAAATTAAAGTTACATGTGTGTATGTGCAAGTATGTAGAGCAGCAGTCCATAAAGTGCATGTTGCGAGTAACAGATGTAAACAGTAGTGCCAGTCCCGCTGCTCTCACACACTCACTCAGTATGTTGATGGTGGACTGGAGGGGCTCTGACCTGTTTGTTTTTGTGCAACAAGTATTACATTCATGGCTAATTTGTTATATAAATTAAACACAAATTAGACCCTGATTTAGTGAATGAACCTTTAATGGGAGTTTAAAGTCATCTTACAGAGAGATTAACACAGTAGCTCTGTGTAAAGGAGATTTAGACTGTATTTCCTGTAAAATAGCTCTACAAGTGGAATCAACTCAGAGTCTTAATCCTGCTGTGTCTTACAGGAAATTGTCCCCAAAGAATGTAAAAGGCAAGATGGAGATGAACAGTGGAAACACTGAGCAGTTTTTATAGCTTGTTGAACCAGTTCATCTTCCACTCTAAATGAACACATTATTATGAATATATAAGAAATTTAACCTTCACTTTAAAATACATTTTGTACATTTTATACTATTTTCTCTGATGTGGATTTTGACATGTCTGAGGTGCTCATGGTTAAGTTGAATGTCTCTTTTAAGTGTAACTTAAATAATGCAACTTTTAAAATTTTCTATCATGCATGTTGCCATGACAGGGTGGACGCATGCACATTAGGGTGGACATATACATGTCATGTGTTTGTTGTTTTCTTGTTGTTGTTCTTGGTTTTTTATATAAATTAATAGTTTCTATTAACTGTTAAACTACTGATGTTAAAGGAGTCAAACTGTTATGTCAAGGTTTTTAGAACAGGTTAATTCTTCGTCCTGTCACTCATCACACTGCAACAAGAGCACTTAAATAGTCAGCATGACCAAAACACAGACACATTCAGTCTCTCACTCACCCAGAGTCACTCTCCACCCTCAAATATAAGCTTAGGTATTTATTATGGACACACTGTTAATGAAACTACTGCCCTTGTTGTACATATGAAATGTTCTTGTCCACCCTGTCATATCCTGGTCCACCTCGTCATCTTCATGTTTTCTTAGAATGAATCAGAAATTCTTCACAGGTAAACAAACCATCATAATTGATTTATTATACATAACAGCCTCAAATGCACAGCACACCAATAATGACTCTTATGATTTTCTGCTTACTCCAAATACAGTCATTAAACAAAGACATGTTTGATGTCCAAGTTCTGCTTCTTTAGTGTAGTATTAGAGCTGCTAGGCTAACAGTGCTAATAAGCCTGGGAAGCAAATAGTCACCTAAATGGTTTCCTCAAATACAGGCCAAAATCTTCATATACTTGCTTCAAATTATGTTAATAAGCTACATAAATGTGTTTATAAAGCAGTTTAGTAGAACTGCATGAATATACCTAATTTAAACATTTAATCTTAAAAGGAACTACATTATCATCTGGATAACGTCCTGTTTTTCGGTACTATTCCTTCTTCAAACTCTGAGAGGATGTAATGCAGGAGGGTGTTGTAAAATGTCACTATGCAGGTATGTAGCTTTAGCACAGTTATATCTCAGGCTTGCTAACTGTAAGACAGTCAGAAGTTGCATATGAAATTTTGATAAACCTACAAAAATGAGGTGTCATGTGATGCAGCAAAATTAACAGCAGTGTATTCTAACATGTTCTTAAGAAAGAGTGGTGACCTAAATAAGACCCTAAGTGACCTTTATGTTCAAAACCAAGGTCAGTGGCCCTTTTATGACTATGAGTTTCAGTTTGTCAGTCAGGTGGTTTGTCCCCAGGAAAACCATAAAAATAAATAAATTTGTTATTATTGTAATAATAAATGTTTGTATACTTGAAATGAACTTTTATACATACATTGTAAGAACAAAGGTTTAAATTGGTGTCCAAATACAAAGACTACTGTATAAATATAAATTTGATTAAATATGAACTGATTATTATTTTTTATGTTTGGTTGCACCAACTGACATTGTCTTGGTGAAAAATTCAATGATCTAGTTTAAAATTAATTCATACCTATATGACAGCTATGCAAGTAATATAATAAATGAAATAAGTTGAATAAATTCTTGCAGATACATAAATGCACTTCACATCCTTTTAAAAAAAGATTTTTTTATTATGATTTTGAAAGCTTTACCACTCATTGACCAAGTAAGTACAAATAGAAATAAAAGAGCTACATGTTTACAACATGGAAATAAATTGTGACTTTACTGAAAATATTCAGAAGGTTATAAATACTGTGCAAATACAATTTACACAACAATCCACATCAAAGAATTATAGGTTATTAATATGCTGCTGAAATATTGCATTATTTATGATTGCCAATAATCATGACCTTAATTTCTTTTCTTACTAAAGTCAAAATCCCATCTGAATGATGATTAGTCCGAGCACGGATGCCAAACTGTTATAGACAAATAGCAGAACTGTAACTACAGCCAACAGTCTAGAACCCAGGCTGGGAAGCCTTCTAGCAGGATCTCAGTAAAGAGTCCATGTATATTACACAAAGCAGATTCACTGCTTTAACACAAAAACCTCTGAGCTGGTTGGTAGCTTGTTGTCTGACGATGAGATGAAGTAACATCTTCTGAATCAGTCCATGGCTAAGATGATGATAACAGATCTTGAGTATGACACATATATTATATTTATAAATAATTATATTACACATATAATTATTTCTCTGATATGATTAAAATGTTATTTTTCATATTTGGCAGTGACTCCCCGTTTGTGTATGCCTCTGAAACTGAAACTAGGGAGAAGTCCACCAATTATTCAAAATTTATTTGTGACCAAAGTTATTCTGAGAAGTTTGGTGTAAAATGCTCCGTTCTGGAGAAACTTCCAAAGTCAGAATTGATCACAGTGGCGTTGAAACGGACCAGACGTCTGAAGAGCTTAAAGCTCCTTCACAGAAAGTTTCTACATGAAATGGTTATGAATACGCTTTCTGATGCCTGAGACACTGTTTTACAATAGTTTTGAGATGTGGGTCTATTAGTTTGGGACTAAAATGACTTTTTAAATGCTTTTATAGTGGAGGGTGTTGCAGGTGTTGTAAGGCAACGGAGGTCTAGTCATCTGGTCCTGCTCCATTGAAAAGTAAATAAATTGCCTATACTTGCACTTTAGACATCACAACCCCTGGTTCCCATCACCACCACTGTAAAGAAATCTAAATGGTTAAATTTATTTACAACAAACCATTTAACACCAAACTACTCTGAATGACTGTTTACACTGCAATGATTCAGGTATGCAGAACTTTTGAAAACACAGGAGAATTTCCCTTCATTATTGATCAGTATGATTATGATTATTTTCTACCATTTCTCCAGTCTGGTGATGAGTAGGTGTGATACTCCACCGTCACACTCTGAGAGGTAAACATTCAGAGGCTCGTCTGACTACACATAACTGCATCTAAAACACACACAAACACACACACACACAAACACACACAAGCACACACACACACACACTCATAGAATTTTAGAAGAAACTATTATTTGTGTTACAAAAATTACAATTAATATAAAAAGGTAAAACTGTGATAACAAAGTGTAGAGTGTCGGTGATTAAAAGCCTGGTTCTGGTGCCCATGACGAGTAAAATTTTCGTCACCAATAAAAAAAAAACGAAACGGGACGAAACACAGCTGCCTTGTTTATATCTCATAATAAAACAATAGACAAGCATCATAAACACACCACAGAAGCAGGGCGGGACACCTGACCATTTTGCGGCCGTAGAGATGCTCTGGCTGAAGTCGCTGTGGAAGGAGATGCTCTTAGAGCTGGAGCAGGTGGACGAGCTGTGAACAAAGAGACAAAGTCAACAGAAAAAAATAAGGTTTTTGGTTTTATACAAATAAATGGGATAAAATCAATAAACGGCCAACACAGGCAAATCCTAGCCAAAACAAGTGTGGAGACAAACAAGGCCAAGTACTCTGCAGCTACTCAAGCACAGTGAGTAAACGGACAGACCATGAACACAGAACTAAAGAACTAGTCCATTTAACTTTGAACAGGGTCCGCGGGGGTGGGGGGCACAGAAGATGAGGAAAAGTGCTGAGTTCCCTTTTCGCTTCTCGACTGAACACTGGCCAATAATCCATTGTGTAAAAAGAGTTAAAGAGATTAAGAGGATTTTTTTTTTAAAGAAAAGTAATGTTTGATCACATTTATCAACACATTTCAGTGATTCTTTAAACTGATGGAGAGAAAGAATATGAAATAAAATGAATGAAGTGTCCACTTCAGTACCACATTAGTACCAGCAAAAAACACTTCATGTATTTTATAGGTGTACCTACCTGCTAAAGGCTCGCCGACAGGATTTAACTCTGAGGGCGTGACCATTCAGACCAATCAGACATGAACAGCTTGAGCCCCTGACCAATCAGAAGATGAAGTAGTGTGTGCTTACACATTTAAATGGGCAATGCTTTATCGTTATATCCTCATAAGACCTGGGAATTTATTCTTTGTCTTCAGTGGGGTCATGAGCGTCCAAGGGATATTTCAAAACCATATAAGCTACAGTGCTGAAACCTGGTCCATCATGTAGAGGACATCCTGACCTTTCCAATGATATTTCATTCATTACAGGAGTTCTGCCTTTTCAAATTGCCTGTCATCTCAGCAAAAACATTTTATGGGTGCAAGAGAAGCAGTAAAACACCATTTATGATGTTTCTAAAGCCTGTAGTTGATATGTTTTAGGTAGAAAACGTTTTAGCTCATTCTCAAAGCAATTTTTTATTGATATGCATAAAAGTTTAACCACCTAACAGTATACTTTTTGAAGTCCTCTGTGGTGGATATTGCGACTCACTAAATCTGTTTTTACATGAGAATTACGGAATCACAGGTGACAGGAAATTGACTGAGGCAGAGAGAAATAAAGGATGATCACACCCACCTTGATCCAGTTAGGGTTGGAGGCAACAACTTGTAAGCTGAGCAGTTAAATACATTATTGTGATGTTACTGTATCTATTTTTTTCTTTTTGATCCTCATTTTTTGTACCACCAGTGTTTTAAGTTTTACTCTTACTACTAAATGGACAACTGGAATAAGTGTATGGAGGCATTTAAGTTAGAAATACTGACTGGGTGCCCTGGAATCACACAGCCCTGGAGCGGTACATCCTTCCATTTGTGCTGGCTGCTGCACGATTGTGTCCCTAAGATATTACATTTGCACATCTAAAACATGCCTGTAACTTACTGTGAAGGAAAATCCATCAGCAGGGTGGTCGTTTACAACAGCCTATGTGCGCCTTTCAGAGAGGTTAAATAAATGGAAAGAGCACTTAGAAAACAGGATCTTTGCGGTCCCAGCCCACTGTAGCTTGGAACGTAATTATTAAAATGCCTTTTTAAAAATCATCTTTTCTTGAGTTAATGTGCGAGGTTAGGAAATGTTTGCTAGTGTCTCATAAACAGCAGTAACGTGATGATGGAGGCTCGTCGTCCGACAAAGCACCAATGGAAGCGGCTAGTAGTTGGTCTGGTCAGCATATTTATATCCCGGATGCTCCACGGCAGCAACAAAAGCACATTTTTTGACTCATTCATTGAAAATTATGGGAATTCATTGAACAATCAGCATCTTCGTACACCCTATCGTCAGAGGCACGTCTGGGTGGGGGATTATTTTTTTCATACAACCAATCTAAACAGTTGTCGGGTTACGTTTTACAAAAGTCCCCCGTCTGCATTCTAAATCCGACGTTCATCAACTGCAATTGATAGGAGCTACACAGCCAGCGGTAACGGGGCATTTTCCCAATTTCTTATACGTGGCTTACCACAAAAGTGTAGTCTGCGTCATGCTCTTATGCCCATATAAGGAAGGTCTAAGCTGGAGTTCTCTATGTCCTATGAACATTCTTCTCTCTAGCATTTGTTTACACCGAGTGCATGTAAAATAAATACATCCACTCGTATTCTAGATTTCCCTGCACACATATCAAGTGACAAAAAATGCTGGTGAGATTTGTGTATGCTCATTTAACCATCAGAACTGACAGTACGCAACTTTTATTAATGAGGGCCATTTGTTGAATCATCTAAGTCTTGAAATAATTTCTAACTTTCTAGAGTATTTCCACAGATTTTTCTAACTTTCTGCATTATTAAATCATTAAGATTTTAACAAAGACATTCAGAGTGGTTTGATGTGAAATGCTCTATTCTAGAGAAATTTTCCAAATCAAGTATTGATTAAAAAAAAAACAGTAATGCGGTGGGTCCACCAGACCCACTGAGAAACAAACACATGAACACCCCACAAGGGTTAGGAATACACTGCCTGAGACCTGAAACAGTGTTTTGAGATCATTTTTCTTTTTTAACCATTCAGGGCAGAGAGGTGCAGGCAGAGGGTTGTAAGATAAAACATCAGCAAAAAAAATATTTTTATTCTTTTATTTTACCATTATCAGTATTGTATACTAAAACAAGTAGTTTTTAAACATAAAGTGTTCAGGCTCACTGCTCAATTTGCATAGTACATAAAATGGCTGTATTTGTGTTGTAGATATTGCAACCCCTGGTTCTTATTACTACAGTTGTAAAGATAATACAAGTTTTTAAGTTTCTCTATGATTAACCATTTCACATCAAACACCAAATGACTTTGCATCTCCCATGAATTATGTAGAATTTTTGACAAACCTGTTGACATGCCTGGCTGGACCCAACACGCCATCTACATATGTATATCTATGGTTTTAACAAAGACATGGAAAGGTGGGGGATATGCATTAAAAAGAAGGCATCTCTAACCTGTATAAGACGGGCGTAAGTGTTTAGGACTAAGCTTCTTACATGGTAATTTTTACTAGATCGTGAGTGAATAGCCATACCATTTGTCCAGGACGAAAGGGGTTAATTCTACAGCTGTGAAAATCAGCCTGCACTTTTTGTCTACAAACTCCCCTTTGAAGTCTTACATGCACCTCCTCCCAAGCTTGCTTACTCCTCCTATGGCTCTCCTGACCAAGGGAATAATGGTGGTTGAAAGCCTAGAACACACTGAAAGGGAATTAAACCAGTGGAGGAGCAAATAAGGGAGTTCTGCGTATATTCTGCCCATGGTAAAAAGCAAGACCAATCATTTTGTGACCTTCCACAATATGATCTTAGAAAGTGCCCTGTTTCTTGGTTAAGTCGCTCTGCCTGCCCATTCAACTGCAGACGATACCCTGAAGTGAGACTAACATTAATGTTGAGTTGTTTGCAAAGTACTTTCCATACGTGTGATGTGAACTGGGGGCCCCTGTCAGATACTCTGTCTTCCGGTAGACCATAGAATCGGAAGACCTGATGAAACAACGCTTCTGCAGTTTCCATAGCTGTTGGCAGTTTCTTCATCAGGACCAATCTGCAAGACTTAGAGAATCGATCAAAAACCACTAATATAGTTGTGTAGCCTTGTGAACTAGGGAGATCAGTCATGAAGTCAATACTCACATGGGACCATGGTCTGAGTGGAATGGGCAAGTGCTCCAACAGACCGGCAGGTAACTGACGTGGTGATTTAGCTTGAGCACAATTACTGCAAGCTTTAACAAAATTAGAAACATCCCAACTCGTGGGTGCGTGGTCTAGTTCCCAAAGACGGGACAAAGCATCAGTGTTAGTGTTCTTAGATCCTGGAAGGTAATTAACAGTAAAGTCAAATCAAGTAAAAAAATAAAAATATAAAAAAAGAAAAAGCCCAACATGCTTGTCTGGGAGTTTAACATTTTGCATCTCTAATATATTCTAGATTGCAGTAGTCAGTTAAAACTACAAATGGATGTTGACCCCCCTCGAGCCAGTGTCTCTATTCTTCAAATGCTAATTTCTAATGGCTAATAATTCCCACATCATAGTTGCATTCTGCCCCAGTCAATTTGCGTGAGTAGAACACACATGGAAGGAGTTTAGCCAGATAACCAAACCTTTGTGATGGAAGCATCTACCTCCACTACAAAGAGCTGGGTAGAATCTGGATGCTTCAAAATAGGAGCTGACATGAATCGATTCCTTAAGCTTGTAAAGGCCTCTTCAGCTTGACTATCCTACTGCAAATTCTTACTGTGGCCTCGTAACAAGGATGTTAGACGTGCAGCCACTGAGCTGAAACCTTGAATAAACCAGCGATAAAAGTTTGCAAAAACTAAAAATCTTTGCAATTCCTTGGTAGTGTGGCGTTTTGGCCATTGCACAACAGCATTTACCTTGCTTTCATCCGGAGAAACATTCCCCCTTTCTCCAACACATAACCCAGAAATGAAATCTTGTCCTTGTGGAATTTACATTTATCAGCTTTTACATAAAGGTTATGTTCCAACAGTCACTCAAGGACTTGTTTGACGTGTTGTTGATGTTCCTCCAAGGAGTGTGAATAGACTAGAATATCATCAATGTACACTATCACCCAGCAATCGAGCATGTCTCTTAGAACATCATTTATGAAGGCTTGGAACAGCGAGAGTGCATTAGCCAGGCCATATGGCATTACTGAATGTTCATAGTGCCCCCAAGAGATCACGCAGGCAGTTTTCTATTCGTGCCACTCCCTTATTCCGATCAGGTTATATAAGCTTTTCAGATCTAGTTTGGTAAACACCGTAACTCCCATTAATTGTTCCAGGGTCGCAGGAACAAATGGTAAAGGATAGTAATACTTGACAGTGATTGAATTCAAACCCCTATAATCAATACAAGGACGTAATCCTCCATCCTTCTTTTCAATGAAGAAGCTGGCTGCAGCAGGGGAGGCAGAGGGACGAGTGTACCCCAGTTTTAGTGCTTCATCAGTTAACTCATCTAATGCCTCAGGCTCTGGTTGTGATGAAGGATAAATTGTATTCTTAGAGGGTAAAGTTCCTGGAAACAGTTCAATAGCACAATCTCCTGGTTGGTGTGGTGGTACTTCATTAACCTTGGACTTGGAAAATACTTCACTGAACCCAGAGTAATTCGGAGGCACGTTAAAGGAAGTTAAAACATCTGGGCTTTCCACCAAGGTGGCTGGGAATACAGATCTGAAAACCCCACTGAACAATTCCTCTTTCTCCCCAAGCTATCATGGGTTGATGCTGGACCAACCATGGGAAACCTAAACTAACTGCATTCTTTGGGGAGTGTATTGTGTAAAATGAAATACTTTCCTCGTGCAGCATTTCCACTCGCATAGTTAGTGAACAAGTCCTTTCAGTCACTAAACCCCCTCCTGAGGGGGGATCATCCACAGCTCGCAGTCTGAGTGGGGGCTGAACTCACTCGAGGGGAATGTTGTGTCACTCCACCAGCTTCCAGTCAATGAAGATGCCTGAAGTTCCGGAATCGATCAATGCTAAAACATTGAAACCTGTGAACCCAAAGACAACCAGACTATAATGGACATATTCTTATCTCTGATAAAGGAATAGTTCAACGAACTCACCTCCAACGCCCAAGCTGAGCCAAGACTTTCGGTGCAGGTACCAAGCATATGATCGGCACGACCACAGTAGAAGCACAAGCGCTCTGTGCGAATACGCTGTCTTTCTTCTGCTGATTGTCGTGCTCTGCCCAGTTTCATGGGTTCTGGCTCTGTTCCGTGGAGGGTTCTGGAAGGGCTGCTGGTCTCAGCCGTCTCTTTTCTCACAGTAGCCCATCCAAAGCAATGCAGGTTTCAATGAACTGATCCAAGTACATCTTCTTACCTCGGCAGACCATTTCGGCTTGTAAATCCTTCTTTAAACCTCTCTTATACGCTTTTGGACATAGTCTGCCGCTGTACGATTCCCTTGTTTAATCTCGCATAATTGAGTTCCGATGTCTCTGCCAGCTCAGGGGTGGTCAAACACAGCTTTAAACAACACATAGAATTGGATTTCTGATTTCAACACTTCACTATTTTGTGAACATAAAGCTGTAGCCCACACTTTAGCCTTCTCAGTTAATAATGAAATGATGAAGTGGATGTTATCTCTTTCTGACACAAACTGTTCCGGGTGATGTTCTATGTACAGGCTACACTGCATGATAAACCGACTTGGTGAGCCATCATACCTTTCTGGCATGCCGATGGTTAACGTGGAATGAGGGTCCGCAGGTACAGTCAAAAGACTCCAGCTGCAGACCTCCGGAGGAGCCAATTAAATTGCAGAAGTCTAGTTCTGCTCAGAAGCCAGTAATGTCACACCAGGCAACTAGCTATCAAAATAAAAGGTCAGTGATGCTATGAGGCTCACCTTGTTTAACTCTCACCTTTAACTGTTCAAAAACACAGCACACTTTCTGTCCATCAAATATTATTATTTTACTAAAACCAACTTCTTTTGCAAACCCAGATAACAAAATTACGCTGAATCAATGTTCATTTTCCCATTGCCTAGTGCATCACATCAATATTGATGTCTGATGTCAGAATTGTTTTATTTGTGTACATCGATTTTATGCTGATTTAACACTGATTCAGTGTTATGTTTGGACGTATCTAAACACGAAATCATTATAAAATACCGTCACCATGAACACATTCCTCCATATGCGCCTCACTGGCTTCCTAAAAAATTTTAGGATTTTATTGTTAGTTGTATTTAAATCTTGTTTTAATCTTGTATTATATTAAGTATCTCTTGTTTTTATTCTATTCTTATAACTTACACTGTGTTTTTGCAGTGCCAAAAGGCACATTTACATGACTAGCTGTTCCGAGAAGCTTTTCATTCCTGAGCAGAACAAGAGTTCTGCAGTTTGATTGGCTCCTCAGCGGAGCGGAGCTCCAGAGGTCTGTACCAAGAAGGGTCCAGTAGGTGGAGCTGGTAGGTCTGGAGAGGGATTGGTTAATGAGGTCGGATTTGGAGTAGCAGATAATGGAGGGGGGAAACGCTGTAAAAGTTCTTGTATCAATCCCATTAATTCCTCCATTCGTTGTTCTTGCCTTGACATTCTCTTCTCCTCCATACTTGCTGACTCCATAAGGAGGTGAAGCCTTCTGTCCTGTAGAGCTTCACACCAGGTAGAAGTCAAGTACAAGTTTATTGAGAGCAAGATCAGGAGAGTGAAGCAAAAGAGCCAGGGAAGGCCAAACATATCAAAATAGACAGTCCCAAAAACACTAAACAGAAATCATAGGAGATCCCAAATACAGAGTCTAAGAAAACTATAGGGCTACAAAGAACACAGCTCAGAATCGCAAGGAGGACAACCAGACAAGACTTCGTAGCTGAAAACACAGAGTATAAATACTAAACAAAATGGCTTCTGATTAAACTCAGATTCATGGTCTGAACTAGTATTCAGGCGATAGTGACCTCTGCTGGTGAGGAGGGGCAGCATGTGACATTAACACAGAAGCTCAGTGTAAAGCAGATTTAGACTGTATTTACTGTAAAAGAGCTCTAGTGGAGGATTAAGTGGAATCTTAATCCTGCTGTGTTTTACAGGAAATTGTCTCCAAAAGACAGTAAAAGACAAGATGGAGATGAACAGTGACAACACTGAGCAGTTTTTATAGCTTGTTGATAGTGATGTTAAGTTTGAGTCACTTTATTGAACCAGTTCTTTCAAACTGTCCTTAAATCTCACCTCACCTAATGTTTCACCTCCTCCATGTACAAAAACATCTGATTACACTTTCCTCAAAATAGTTTCTTTACGCACATAGTCAGATTTTAAAAAGGGTCCATTTCTATTAATAATATGGATAAATTTCATAATTATTGGTCAATGTCAATGTAATGTGCCTTCGGTGTTCCAGCATAGTCGTTTGAATTTCATAAGAACATTGTGAAACAATCAATTTTTCAAGTTTTACTCTGAATGAACACAATATAATGAATATATAAGAATGTTAATGTTCACTTTAAAATATATTTTGCACATCAAATACCATTCTCTTTGATGTGGAGATGGGATTTTGACATGTCTGAGATGCTCATGGTTAAGTTGAACGTCTCTTTTACGTGGTTGAAGTTTTAAAGATGTTTGAGCATTTAGGTATTTAGATTATTCAAAAAAATATCAAACTATTCAAACATGTAAAAGATTTGCTGTCCACTCTGTCATCTCGGGATATCTGCTTGTTTAAGAAAGTGACCTTGGACATCAGTGACGTCACAACCTTCATATAGTTGTATCTTCAATGGACTGAAGACGCCTGCTGCACATTCAGTAAATATATAAGTTAATTAAACTTAATATTTCTCACATTGTCTCTATAATTAGCTGAGGTCAAACTTAAGATGTCCACCCTGTCATGTTGAAATACTGAGTTAATTAAAATAATTTAGAATATCAAAATAAATCTTTGATACAAAACAAGGTCATCTTGAACATTTCAACATGTCTGCAGCTGTAGGTCAACCATGTGTTCATCATTTGCTAACTTTAGCTAAAATTGTCCACCCTGTCATTGTCATTGATAGGGTGGACAAATACATGACAATTCTTAGCTTTTTTCTTCTTGTTGTTCTTGTTTTTTATATAAAATAGTAGTTTCTATTAACAGTTAAACTGTTATTTCAAGGTTTTTAGAACAGGTTAATTTTTCGTCCTGTCACTCATCACACTGTAACAAGAGCACTTAAATAGTCAGCATGACCAAAACACAGACACATTCAGTCTCTCACTCACCCAGAGTCACTCTCCACTCTCAAATATAAGCTTAGGTATTTATTATGGACACACTGTTAATGAAACTACTGCCCATTGTTGTAAATATGAAATGTTCTTGTCCACCCTGTCATATCCTGGTCCACCTCGTCATCTTCATGTTTTATTAGAATAGATCAGAAATTCTTCACAGGTAAACAAACCATCATAATCGATTTATTATACATAACAATGAGTAATTCAAACAATTATATTGCATTTTTGTTGAAAGATGTTACTGTTACTATATTGTTTGGGGGGATAAAAGGATGTTGGATGTGGATACGGTGGGGAAAGAAACAAATTTCATAACAAAATCTATCATTTTCAGGGGTCATAAGAGTTACTGTTGAAAAGAGACAACAACGTCTCTCTGAAAATGACTCTATAGTTTCTACAACACTTTATGAACACCATTTATATATGTTGTCTTTTTCCATGACAGGGTGGAGAGAACTTGTGGTTGTGTCATAAGATGCTGACTTGACATTGCAAAATAAAGTGTTTAAGCTTCACTCAGACGTTTTCTGCGTATTATAGTCTTTTAGCAATGATGAATATTTAAAGTAATTAAAAATCTTAAGTCATTTTTTGAAAGTTCTGAGGTTCTAAAGGCACAGCATACTGATAATGACCCTAGGACTGCTAAGGTAACGGTGCTGACAAACACTGGAATTTAATAGCGACTTAAACCGTTTCCACAAATATATGCCAAAATCTTTATATACTTGCTTCAAATTATGTTGATAAACTACCTAAACTCAATAAATAAAAGCAGTTTAGTAGAACTGCATGGATGTACCTTATTTACACCTTTAATCTTAAACTGGAACATTATGCAGGTATGTAGCTTTAGCACAGTTATATCTGAGGCTTAAGACAGTTAAAAGCTGTATATCCAATTATGATAAAACCTACGAAAGTGAGTAGTTGTCATGTCATGTAGCAAAACCAACAGACGAGGACTTTTATTTTGACATCCTTAAAAAAGAGTGGTGACCCAAACAAGATCCAAAGTGACCTTCATGGTGCAATACCAAGGTTAGTAGCCCTTTCCTGAGTAAAAATGTAAAAACTGTAATTTATTGTCAGTCAGGTGGTTTGACCCCAGGAAAACCATAAAAATGTGTCATTATTATAATAATGTTCATATATTTAAAATAAAATGTATGTATGAATGTAAGTTCAAGAACAAAGGCCTAAATTGGTGCCCAAGAACAATGCCTACTTTATATGTTTTAATTAGTGGTCAATCTGATTAAATATCTTGTTTAAAATGAATTTATACCTTTATAGCAGCTCTGAAACAAATATAAATACATTGAACAGATTCTAGCAGGTATAAAAATGCACCTCACATCTTTTTTTCATAAGAATTTTTCAAATAATAATTTTGACAGTCTTATTTGACCCAGAAGGTAAAAATTAGAACAAAGCTATTTGTTTGTGACATTGAAATAAATTCAGACTTTACTGAAAAATCTTCATAGTGTTGTTATAAATACTCTGCAAATACATTTTACACAACAGAAATGAAGATTATATATAGATATGCTGTTGAAAGTTGGCACTATTTTTTATTGCCAATAATTAATTATTAACATATTTTTTTTATTTATTACAGTCAAAATCCCATCTGAATGATGATTAGTCTGAGCATGGATGCCAAACTGTTAGTTATAGACAAATATCAGAACTGTAACTACAGCCAACAGTCTAGAACCCAGGCTGGGAAGCCTTCTAGCAGGATCTCAGTAAAGAGTCCACGTATATTACACAAAGCAGATTCACTGCTTTAACACAAAAACTGGTTGGTAGCTTGTTGTTTGATGATGAGATGAATTAATATCTTCTGACTCAGTCCATGGCTAAGATGATGATGATAACTGAGATCTCAATGAGTATGATGGCAGAGGTGATGCTGATGAGAACGAAAATCGGATGACGACAATGTCCAGTGGTGACGATGGCACTGATCTCCTCTTCATGGGTCCTGATGTCTCTAATCTTCCTGGGTCTGTGGCTAAGATAATAATGATGATGTCAGTGGTGATGCTGCTGCTGATCAAAATAAATGCTGAAGATAAAGTCCAGTGATGGTTAATGGTGAAGTCTCTAAGGGTCTTGCTGCACTTCTTGTCAAGGCTTCCTTCGACGTACATCCTCTGATCTGGTCCAGAAACTGAACAGTCCTCTTGTCCAGAGTTCCTTGATGACATGCAGGAATCACTGCTGTCTAGAGCCTCTAATCCAGGAAAAATGATGCACTGGAACCCTGAATGAAGCACAGTGAGAAAGAAAGAAAGTAAAAGACAGAGTAAAGCTCTATTCAGACGGGTTTAGTTTTCCATGAGGAGGTGGGGCAATGCCAGTTTACCTCAGGACATCTGTAATGTTTATGAGCGATTCACACAGGATAAGAAATTTCGGGCTAAATGACAGAGATGGGAGTGGAGTTTCCACAAGATACAATACTGTTTTACCAACATTTTGATTCGCATAGGATTAATATAACCTGAGCTTATTTTTATGGCTCATTTTACAGAAGATAAAAGGCACCAGAATCTTTACTGACACGGGAGCACACAGTCGGTTATAATGGATGACTGACATGGGACTAAAATCACTGAGAAACACTAGTAAAAGTTACTTTATCCCACCTCATCATGTAAAACTAATTCCATCTGAATCGGGCTTAAGATATTCTAAACATGGTTAAATAAAATCTAACAGATGTGATATTCTCTGAAATCTGTGAATATTAAAAGATGAAGAGGAAAGAACAGATGGGGTGATTAAAAGAGAGAGATCTAAAGTGCTCCAGATAGAGTCATAAATATTGAATTTGGAGGTGTTATTTACGAAGAGTTTAATGCCTCTTAAAGCTTCCTCATGGAAAGTTTTTATATACAGATGGTTATAAATACACTGTACATACACATACATACACAGTAGTTTTGAGATAACGTCATGGACTAAAACAATTTTTTTAATACTTTTGTGGTGGAGGGGTACATGCAGGGTGTTGTAAGGCAATATAGTCCCTAATAAAATCTTATTTTTTCAGATGTAGAACTATTTTACTATCACTAAAATTACATATAAAATGCGTGTTGGTTTGCTACTTTGGATAGTAAATAAAATGCCTGCGCTGTAGACATCACAAACCCTGGTGCCTATCAGCAGCAATATAAAGAAATCTAAATCTTCACGTTTCGCTACAGTAAACTATTTCACATCAAATTGAAATCTGAAATTTTGAACAATTACTGTTATTCCCCTTTAAAATAAATATTATTTCATACCATGTCTCCAGTCTAGAGATGAGTAGATGTGATGATCCACTGTCATGCTCTCAGAGGTAAACATTCAGGGGCTCTCCTGGATACACAGGAAACTGCATCTGAAAACACACACACACACACACACACACACACACACACACACACACAAACACTCACAGAATGTTAGAAAAAAACAATATAATTTGCATTACAAAAACTACAGTTACTATGATAAAGAAATTTAAAATATATATGATATCAAAGATATGTAGAGTGTGATTAGAAGCCTGGTGGGGGTCCTCTTGGTTTGCTGGAAACCATGAATGGTGACGGCGTCTCAAGGATCCGCGTGTTGCTGGACCGATGAGTCCTGAAGCAGCCATCTGAACCAATGGACACCATCTTCAGTGTCTTCGACACTTTGGTTTGCTGCAAAACACACATAGAGAAATGCTGAAAATGCATAAATTTATAATTGGACACAATTTTACAGAACTACTTTGTTACAATCTATTAACTGCAACTGCAAAACTACACAATGAAGTACTAACCAGAGTAACATTCTGCAGTGATGTCTCCACTGATTCAGTGCGAAGGTAGATGGACGCCTCGCTGATCGATGTTCCAAAGCGCTGAATGAGCAGATGAGATGTTGATGAAAATATCTAAACAGGGCAATCTGGTAGCAAAAGTCTTACAGTCCAAATGAGATTGTAGCTTTACCTTGATGCAGGTCACAGCAGCCACAGTAGCGAAGTGCTGAGGAGGAAGCTGTAAAATCAGTGAACACCATGAGGTTAAAATAAAAAGGTAGTAAAACAGACAGAGACGGCAGAAAATATGATCACAGTGAAATTATGAACCTCTGCACTAATAACTGAGTCTCACCTCCGGGAACAAATGATAGAAATCGTTGCTGAGCACCCACCAGTGCTCAGACTCCAGCCCCTCACAGATGGTCTTGTGTTGGAGCTTCAACTCCACCAGCTGCAGGAATCATGTGAAAACATCTCATTAACTTCACCACTGTCACATTCAGAATCAAACTACAACAGTCAGTAAAGTGTTTCTCTGTGCTGAAAAGTGTATCATTGGCAAAATAATCAGCTGAAACGAACCTTCGCGCTGTCAAAACGTGGCTGTGAGAAGGTGTAAGCAAACATCCTGTTTGCTCTGTGCAAAGCTTGGCAGTGCTGCTACAGGGACAGAGGAGAATAAAGTGTTTAGGGGAGACTGCAGTACTAATCAGATATTAGTGGGAAAAATTCTTTCTTTGCATTTAATCAGTGTGAAGAGCAGAATTTTACCTCAAATCTCACCAGCGCTCCACAAGAAAGGGGTGGAATTAAGACCACCTGCTGCCAGCTGAGCACAGAAACCTCCTACAGCAAAGACAAATAAATGGTTAATACAGAGACACTGGTGTAGTCAAGTATGAATAAACTTTATCTTCATGATATTTAGCCATTTCAAACTGATAAGTAAGAAAGACCACCTGTGGCATGGGGGCACAGCCTGAAGAAAAGATGGCCCGCTTGTGTTCCTCCGTTCCTGAGGACAATAGTTTAAATAGTAACTGACATGTTCAGGATCCTGAAGGGCTTTACAGTGTAAAGAGTATCTGCAGCACTGTTCAAAAACTCTCCTGAATGAAGAGCAGCTGAAGGGTCACTATGAGCTGACCGTTTGTTACTCTGGGGCCGAATTACAGAAACATCTTAACTCTGAAATCTTATCTGTTTAGTAACCATGACAACTTCAGGACAAAAGCTATTACAGAACAACAGTTCCTAACTTCATAATCTTATCCTAACTCCAGATGAGAAAACAGTATTACAGAAACATCCTAACTAGACAAATTTTCCTAAATACTGTCCTGACTTTAGAACAACACCAGTGTTACTCTAACTTCTGTTTTAACCCTCTGTTGCTATTATTTTTAGACAACTCTCAGATAACAGCAGAGCCCACTGATGGCAAAACTGGCACCCCAATGGCTTTCTGCTCAGTGTTTTCCAGACAGCCCAACGGTGGTTAAACAGAGTATCAGACAAAATGTCACTTTTCATCACTTTTTACCACTCACAGTCAATTATTTATTTTCTTTACTTTCTTTCTTTCTTTTGTTGTCCTTTGTAAATTAGTTTAGTATAGAATTTTAATTTATCACAGTGTCAGCAACAACACTGTCAACAAAATCATATTATATCAGGCCTAGTCATTAAATATTTCCCCTGTAATATTTTTCTTATTTTATTGTCCAAAATAAAAGTCTGCATGCATTTAAAATCTGTTTGTGGAGATTAAAAACTAATTAGATTTTGTAAGCAGGACAATAATCTGGGTGGTCTGAGGGTGGACCAGCATACAGTCAAGGGGGTGTCGACCTTATCGAGCCATTGGACCAATATCTGCTTAGTATCTGGGCTGTGACAGGCAGCATAGTTCACTACTAGCATAATGACGTTACATTTATTTCATACTGCAAAATGGTGGGTTGACTTTTGAGATGTTTCTGTTTTTCTAAAAATCCCAGACACTGCAGACTCGATCTACACCGTCCCCTCTTATTGTCTTCGTGTGTTAATGTTGATGAAAACTCGTCTAATAAGATATTACAGTGATGGTGGTGAATAATGAGGAGACAGAGCTGATCGTGTGTCTGTTTATTAGGAGGAATAACGTTAGCGCTGCTGGTTAAAAGCGTTTGGGAACAGAAACTGACACTGCTCTGATAAACAGCACTGAGCGCTCTCACTGTATTCACAACTTACAGTTCATCACACTTTAGTTTTGACCTTTTTTACATCGACAACTGCAGCTATCTGACAAACCGACTTACATTTTTCACATTATTGTCACGAAGTGTTTACGTTTCGGCTCTGCACGTATCGTCTGTTGCTAGGTAACAGACATAACAACTGATTAGCTTTGGGCTAAAGTTAGCTAACGTTACTGACACAAAACAAAAGTGAAATCTGTAAAATCACCCAGTCTCGGCCTGTTAAAGTCTTCAACCGGTAACCTAAATAAAAAGTGCATTTTTTAAAAGCCTTTCTCCCCAAAACCCCCTCAGACCTGTTTGACACTAAAACACACCGTCAGCTGTAACTGCTGCAGTTCAGAACACGCTGTCAGGATCAGCAGCACTAAGTTTCGCTCTCTGCAGCCGTTGTTCTACATCAAGTGTCTCTCTTTGCGCTCTATGCTAGCAGAAATATCCGCTCGCTAACTCACCGTCGCAGCCGTCCGTCTGGGTCGCTGCATCTTGGTCCCTCGTCGTCCGCTGTCCGTCCAGGATCCGCCGCCACCTGTAAAAAAGAAAACAAGAGGTTACAGCTGCTGCTGAGATGCCGGCGGCACAAAGAACCGCTGGCCGCAGCTGAGCGCCGAAGATGAACAGAGGAAGCTTCATCTTAAAGCAGAAGGACTCCGGTAGTTCGCTGTGAGTGAGAGCTCAAGTGAAAGCAGCTTGCTCGTTTGGGTGTCGGTGAACGACTGAACGATTTCAGACTCTCAGCTTCTTTAGTGTTCTATGGAACGTTCTTTCACCTTGGTAACGTTCTTTAGTTCAAAACATCTTTATGTTACGTGACAACAGTGTTTGTTACATCCAGTCCATTATACTCACATCTCAGCTCAGTAAAACTCCTGAACACTCGATCAGTGGCTTGATTTTTACTAATTCAGCAGACAGGAAGCTCTGATCACGATGCAGTCTAAGGCAGATACGTTAGAGATCAGCTACAGAACTTTATCTGCTCATTTATTGAGCTGAAGTGCTGCTTGTTGCCTAAACGTTTCAGCAGCAGTGCATCTTTCCCAAATAACTCTCCCTATTTTGAGGGTAATCTAAACTAATGAAGTCCATTCTTTACATGTTAAAATGGTCAGACTGGATAAAAAGAAGCAGTTTAAACTTCACATGAAACACTAACATATTAAATGCTTGGATTCCTGTACAATAAAGGGAAACCCTGGATGGGTGTCAGTCACAAGCTGAACTTGCTTTGGCTTGTTTGTCTTTGACACACTTTCACATCACCTACAGAACCACCTCTTTGTAAAACACAGTTCTAGACTTGTGTAAGTTAGACTGTATAATTCTACCATTATACCAAACTCTCCAGCCAGTCAGAATCAAAGCACTACAGCATGAAGAAAGAGATGATTGTGAACTTCAAATCTGTGGAGAGTCGAAATCTCCAAGTTCTGTGGTCTGCACATCACCGATGACCTCCGTTGGACAAAATTCTGCTACTAACATATAAAGCTCAGCTTCGCCCCTCAGTACCTGAGTGAACTTATCTCTTATTATGAACTGTCACTCTTACTACTACATTGACATATTATGTATTATGGTGAACTGTGGAAGTTGGTGCTGCCGGTCCTGCTGCTCTCACACACTCACGCAGTTTGTTCATGGTGGACTGGAGGGGCTCTGACCTGTTTGGTACATTGTTTGTTTTGTGTATTACAAGAAGTATTACATTTATGGCTAATTTGTTATGTATTTTGTTATAGACCACCTCATAGTCAGACTTTCAAAAAAAAAGACCCCCAAAACCTCAAACACAAATCATATCCTGATTTAGTGAATGAACCTTTAATGGAAGTTTAAATTCATCTTGTGGTTTGATAAGTATTGTACACAGTTAGGTTCCAACTGCCATCTGCCATTAAAAATACCAATGTAAGACAAATAAGAAGATGATGTAGAGAACTTACAGAGAGATTAACATAGTGAAAAATCCCTCCCAAACAAGCCCCTTTTTCCTCCAGTCTCTCGCACTCCCTTTAACGCCACCATTACTTTAACTCACAACAACCATTCAAAACAAACTTTTACTTCACTCCAGCTCTTATGCTGCACATTAAAACCTTCACATGTACCTTCTCTCTACAGTTGAGAAAGGTGCAGCATATAAAATTATTAAACATACATTTATTTTACGTATAGTAGACTTGGGCGGATTTTGTGATTCTGGGGCTCTACCCCAAAGACAGGAATGGAGCCCCCTGGATGCACATTTTTAATTTAGTTGAGGCTCTGGGCTGCCGAAGAAGTGCAACTGTGAAAAACTGAAAACTGATATCTTGGCAAGCAAAATTATCATTAGTTGAAAAAAAGATATATCTAATATTTGTCATTTTGAGATTGTTTTAATAATGTTGTAATATCACTTAAAGGGCACATACCTTAACCTTTGATGTCCATTTATAGCATTGGATGGTTTTATGTACCAAAACCAGTCATCATTCATGTTTATATAACCATTTTAGCACTTCCATACCATTATATACATACATGTAAGTAAATGAGCTCTGTTCTGAGAGGCTGTATGGTCCCTCATCCAAAAAAGCGCACATTAATCTCTTTTATTTTGAAAAAGCAAGAAAATTTGGTTGTTCATGATATGGGTGCTTCAACATATTTCTATGTTTTTCAAAAACTTTTTTAAAGTAATTTTAAATATAGTGAAATGATCTCACTATATTGGCGGATAATTCTGTGAAACAAGCAAAAATGAACAGCCAATATAGTGACAGTAATAAAATAATAAATAAATAATATAGTTAATATAATCATAATGAATATCAGTTAATAATAATAATAATAATAATAATAAAAATAATAATAAATGACATACACACACACACACACACACACACACACATATATATATATATATATATATATATATATATATATATATATAATGTGTGCATGTAGTGCATAGATACTATATATCTGTTTTGTATTTTTATGGGGGCCTTGGCTCATCGATGGAAGTTATTTCACTTTCATAAACTGGAACCGGGAGTCATGGTTGTATGATTGTCTCACTATCTGTATGAGGGGCCCATTAAGGATTTTAGACCCCCGACTCCCGCGCCACGGGCATCAGAGCGACTACCCCCATATTTACAACACCGCTACAGAGCATCTACAGACGGAGCCTGCGTGTGAGGACGGAACTGAAAGATCAGCGCGCTCAGTGGCGGGAGTGAAAGAGCAGGAGCACCAACGGAAGTCAAAACACAGTTGCGAGCTTTTCGGAGGGGCGAACACGGAGAAAACTAAAGTGGATATTTGTCGAATTTCAGAGATTTAAGCCCGCTCCCTACCTTATGGCTTCCAGTTCCAACATAGATATAGAGGGCGCGACCCAGCACCTTCGCGACATCCTGAAGCTGGATCGACCCACTAATTCAGCCGGTAGGTTACCGGGGAAAGGGGCAGGTGGAGCTCCGCTAGCAGCGTTAGCTTTACTTCGGTCATCTTTAGCTGCAGCTAGCTTAGCTTTAGCGCCCTCACTCATATGAACTAGGCCTCAGCAGTGAGATAGGCTGGTGCGTACGCGCCTTTATTTTAGCTCCTGCTGCACAATAACAGCTTACTTTCCATCACATGAAGTGGACACTTATACATCTGTCGAGGTCGCAAATTACAGCGAACTGTTTGACTGTTCTGTGTGTTCACGGCTGAACGAGAGGAGGAACAAACCAGGCTGACTGGACTAAATCAAGCTAACGCCAGCATTTAGCCTGCTAGCATAACAAGCTAACATCTGCAATAGCAAAACACGTTAGTTCGGATGCGTTAGTCAGTTAGCTAATTGGCTGGCTTGTTAAAACAGACTAGTGCATAAAGCGTCTTACGTGAATTGTGGTCTAGAGTTTCCCGTTTACTTAAATAAGCTTCGCGAAATCATTTCAGGCAAGTGCTTGTAGTGGAAAGTGAAATGTAATCGTGAAGTCAGTGTAAGTTTTAGTACTTAGATTTTTACAGAGGCAAATTTTAAATTCACATGTACAGCGTGTGGATAAATAACGTTTGTTAAGATGTTTTATGTAAGCTGAAGTTTTCTTTGCCTTCTGTCATGTTTTCATTTGTAACGCTAGATAACCTAGCTAATCTTTAAACTTTAGAAGTAAAAGGACAGCATTATATTTCATAGAGTTCAATTAGTCAGCTAGCGTTCCTTTTATGAAAACGTTATTTTATGACTTTTCTCATTTTTTTTTATCTAAAAGCTTCTTGTTAAATAAAGTGTTAGTTAGGTATGTGGTTCTAGGAGCTAGGTAGCTATCTTTCCATTTATGAAGAAAAGCCTTTTCACTGGCTTGGTTCCTTTGGTCATTATTTGATCAGGTAGGTTAAAGGTTTAGTGAAGTGAGTGAGAGAAATTGCTGGAATTGAAGGGTTTGGTTCCAAAGCAGATTATAGACCTTTTTCAGGAATATTTTTTCCCAGTTAAATGTTTTTGTGAAGGGGTTTAACATATTCAGTGCTATATTATGTTTAATTGCATGTTTATTTGAAAAGTAAGAGTATAGTTTTCCACTGATCATCAGCTGGTATTCTTTTCAAAATCTTGTAATATTCTAAATTGTTACAAATGGATATGTGGCATTTGGGAATTCGGGAAACTCTTTTAGCTGGCTAGATAGTTTTGAAACTGAAATCTTTAGCTGTCAAATGACAAGTAAGAAGTGATGTCTGTGAGTGCGGTGCTGGTAGCGGTACCTGAGAGAAACCTTGTTTGCTCTTTTCACAGAGGCTTCAGCAGTAGAGACCCAAAGGAAAACATCCTTTAATGGAGAGCTGAATGGACTGCTGGGAGCTGATCTTATTGGAACAGGAGTTCGGACTGCAGTGGTGGAACCAACAGCTCACAACTCAGATAAAATGAACACACAAGACATTCAGACAATGTGAGCACTCGAGTTTATTCTTTTCTATTTGAGAAATTTGTGGCTTTTTCTGCATTTTAATAGTTCAATAAATAATAACTGACTTTAATTCTCATGAAGTGTTTGATAATGATTGTGTTAAAGATGTCTTAGTCTTTAAGTTGTGTGGGTCTGTATGTGTATTGCGTTTGTCAGAACCACACATTTGTAATGAGTGCAAAATGGCATCTTTATTGATTCCTTAATGTATAAATATCATTTAATCTCCAGTTCCTTGTCCGGGGATGATGGCTCTACATGCATTGCCATCACTTCTAGCAATGTGGAAATTATCGCCAGCCGTGACTCTAGTATTGAGAGTAAAGCTCGAGGGAGCAACAAGGTATGTGAGTTAATACTTTTGAAAGTTCTGCTTTATAAACTTTATCCGTTACTGATACTATATATCAAAGCTGAACTTTAATTATTGCTCATTTCTTGCAGGTTAAAATTCAGCCAGTGGCGAAATATGATTGGGAGCACAAGTATTACTACGGCAATCTAATAGCAGTGTCTAATGCATACTTGGCATATGCCATTAGAGGTAAGTGCATGTGCGCAAACTTTGCCAGTCTGAGTTGCTGGCTAGCTTGATTTTGTGGGTTTTTTTCGTCTATACTGCTCAGCTCAAATTCTTGCACAGCTATGTGAATTGAGTATCGACCTGTTTTAGATAAGGTCATGCAGTGTCCAAACCAAGATAACTTTGTCTGCATGTTTTAATGTGGCAGAGAGTTTTCTATCGATCAGACACTTTACAGACAAAATCCTTTCCCCCATACTTGCTGATGTTACACTCAGACTTGGCTGTTTGAAATACACTTTATGTCCAAAAGTATGTGGACACACATGACTGTGGCAATTGTTTGAGCTTGTGGGACAAACCATGAGCATTAATATGCAGTCCCTCCCCTTTTGCGACTATGACAGCCAGTATTCTTCTTGGAAGGCTTTCCACAAAATTTTGAAGGGTGTCTAGGAGAATTTGCCCATTTGGTCAAAAGAGCATTTGTGAGGTCAAGCACTAACCTCTGAATCGAGATTCCAGTTAATCCCAAAGGTGTCCAGTGGAGTTAAGGTGAGGACAGCCACTGCAGTCTCTCCTCACCAGAGTTGTCAAGCTATGTCTTTATGGACCTTGCTTTGCATACAGGGGCTTGTGGGAACAGGAATGGCCTTCTCCAGACTGTTGCCACAAAGTTGGAAGCATATAATTGTCTGAAAGTCTAACTGTCTCTTTGTATGGTGTGGCATTAATATCACCCTTGACTGGAACTAAGGGGCCTAAAACTGCCCTATCCCATTATCCCTCCTCCACCAAACTTTACTGTTGGAATTGTGCATTTGGGTAAGTAGGGCTCTGCATCTACCAAACTCAGATTCGCGTGAGTCCAGTGGTGGGATGCTTTACACCACTCTAGGCAATGCTTGGCATTGCACGTTGTGATTCTAGGCTTGTGTGCATGTGCTTGGCCATGGAAACCTATTTCATGAAGCTCTCAATGCACAGTTTTTGTAATGATGTTGCTTCCAGAGGCAGTTTGGAATTTTTACATGCCATGTGTTTCAGCACTCGCCGACCCCACTCTGTGAGTTTGCGTGGTCTTCTGCTTTGTGGCTGAGCTGTTGTTCCTTGGGCAGGTATAGCAAGGCAGAAATTTCACAGCCCGACTTGTTTTTAAAGATG